AAATAACCTGAAAATGTGAATACAACTGGCAAATTGTATTTGGTAAAATAAAGTCATTGGTAAAAATATAAACAACCTGCTGAAATGAGCCGAATCAAGATCTGCCTTTTAAACTGGAGTTGGCGTTCTAACTCTGAAGAAACCAAAAGTGGAACCAAACCACAAAAATAAATACGCAAAAATTTTAAGCTAAGCAGAAGTGTCTATATAGTTGGTTATACTTGATCATAAAAATAAATGGCCACATGTGGGCAATGTGTTCGTGTATGTATTGAAATCTGGGGCAATTTTGCTGGTGTTATTGTTGTGCTATGATGACGAGGGTGTTTTCGCCAACATACCTGTCTGCCTTGGAGAGATTTACAGGCCGACTGAAACTCCAGGGTTCGGTCGCGGCACGTCATCGTGCCGCCGATTAGAGGATAAGAAACCCGCCGTGGATCACTAGAAACGACTGGATCCTCCTCAAGCGGGTCTGGTGAGCAGGGAGACCAACAGATGTACCGAGAAACCTACATCCAAGGTGGGGTGTTCTTCATAAACACACGCATAACTGTGACAGAAAATAAATGAACAAATAAAAACATATGTGAATCTCTCAGAAGGAACGATGAGAAATACACAAAACACCAGATGAGAAATACAAAAACACTCAACCGGCACCGTCGACTTCAACAACTACAGATATGTTGAAGTCGACTAGAAAAGACTAGATGATAATTAAGAGATGTCGGCGGTAACTAACACAGAGACTTACTGAGAGCTAAATATGCATATCATTAGGTAAGGATGATTAATCTGAAGTCTAAGAACAGGCCGCCCATCACGACGCACAGCTGATCACGGCCTAACGTTAGCTAAGAGATGCTAACAGGTTTTTCGAGCATTCCTTCATGATTACCGTGACTTAATAATGTCTAAACTGATAAGATTAAGTCTTCTCTGGCTTGAAACATCAAAATTTGTCTTTGTTTCAACTTACTTGAGTCGATATCACACCATTTTAATGTGGCTTCTCGATGTTTCTGATGAGAAGTAACCAACCCTACAGTTAAAGTTCCGATCCGGGTCACTTCCGGAATTGACGTCACTGCCACGTCTCCTTTACTGAAAGTCCCCGGAGTTTTGCCGCTTTCGTCACCAGAGGGCAACATTTCTCCTCCATACAGGTAGTTAAAATTAAATAATAACCAAGATAGGACAAGAAAATAACAACTAGATTTAACTTATTTTAACCTAGTTGATTTTACATAATTAATACATTAATTGAAAAATACAAAACACTGATGAGTTTGAGGGGTAATATAACTCATTTGACCACCAGGGGGTAGCATTTTTTTTCTGACATTCCCACAGCAGAGTACCAAAGGCAACACAGATACTGAAACTATTGACTCTTGTTATTCTTAAAAATAAATAACAATCATGGTGTTACAAATAATCCTAAACAAAATGAATTCTGCTTAACTACATACATTTCCAAGAAAATCAGCAGACTTTTTAGGAAAGAAAAAAAATATTTGCTCTATTATTATTAAAATGTATGGCCCAATTTGTGTTTTTAAGTGCCTTGAAGTTTTCTGTGATCATTCAAAACTGAAAAGGAAGGGTTAAAATATATAATTCAAAGGCGAAAATTGTATAACAATAATGTTCATTCTTGTTTGCAAAACAACTTAAACTCAGTCATATTAGAATGAGAGTCTGTCACAATCAGTTTTAAAGTTTTCAAACAGATTTTCTGTTGGTTTTAGGACTGGGCTTTAACTGGGTCATCCTGACACACTCTGTAAATATGCTTTAACTTAAGCTATTCCATGGTAGCTCTGCTTGCATGTTTAGGGTTGTTGTCCCATTGCATAATGCCCCAGTCTGTGCTGACTACCAATTTTAATTTTTTTTATTTTTTTTTAACAAAATTAAACAAAAAAAATGTCTTTTTCTTATCACTTTACAGCTTTACAGTAAATGACACTTAATGCTGATTTACCACATAAAATCTAAAGAAAATATGGTAAACTTTGTGGTCTTAACATCACAAAATCTGAAAAATGTGTGCATATTTTTGCAACTGTTGACATTTTCTCATCAAGTAATAATTTAATTTGTATGCTACAGCAAGCAGGAATGACTGGAGACACAAAAACACCTGATTGGCTGCCGCCTCAGGTGAGTAGACCTGCAGATATATGGTATGGAAAAATAAAGATAAGATCCAGTAAAACTCTCTGATGTCCAATCACTCCTGCTGGTACCTGCATCCTCTTCCTGACATGATCAAGCCTGCCTAAACCACAGCTATGTCCTCAAACATTTCGCTGCTGGACCCCTAACCACAAAGCCATGCATTGCTCTCGACCATCCTGTCTGAGCATGACCTGACCCCCTCATCCAGTTCAACCAACATGTCAGTTTTTGCATCTCACTTTAATGTGTCAGGGCATCTTCATCGACATGAGAATAGTTTCTTAATGCTGTAATAGGTTTCTTGAGGCTGTAAAGGTAAATCTACTTTATTATCCAAAATCTAATGTATGGATTAGATTTCTTTTAAATGTGTGGATTACTTGTGCTGTCACAGAACTAAATTGGAAGTTAAATACTGAATTCCAAATTCAGTACTTAAAAAAAACTAAATTTTTAAATAATTAAAAATGTATTTACTAAAGAAAATGCTTAGTTCCCATTTCCCTGCTGTTGCAATGAAGACGAACATCAAGTTATTTTGCAGTAACGTCCATATCATCTCTGTCATCTTCATACTTTATCCTCAGCCTGTTCTCTTTGCGGACACTTTCCCATGTAGTGACAAAAGAGGCACAGATCTTTTATCAAGACTGATGTCCTTCAGTGGAGTGAGACAGGCAGGGTCTGGGCCATGTTTCTGTTAAAGATAACACCAGTTCTGTGTAAAATGAAAAAAAAAAAGCCGCTTTGTATTCACCTAAAAAAACACTCACTGTCCTGTGAACGCGCTTGAATGTTCTCTGCCTTTCTAACGTTGAACTAAAATCTCCCTCTTTCTATGCCTGGTCTGTTATCTGCCTTTTTGTCACACAGACTCACACAGAGGAGCTGATACCATCTGACAATACACAGACCTGATAGCGGCCAGTACCTGCTTCAACACAGCTGCTGCTACATAAGCAGGGAGGAAACCATGGTTGTAGTTATTAGAAAAAACAGAGAGGGAACAGCAAGGTGGAAAAATACAGGAAGTCCTGATACAAGCAGACAAAGCCACAAAGTGAGGGTTGAAGAGGGAGGAATGGAAGAGAGGCCAAGAGGAAAAGAGGATGTGTGTAAGGAGTCAAAGACAGACAGCGTTCTTCTGTTTTTGGGAAATATTTAGTCAAATATTAGAAGGATTAAAGTGCAAAGAGCTGATCTGAGCAGATCCTAGAGAGAAGACATCCTCTCTGTGTCTATACATGACTCACTCTGTCCTTTTCTTGCTCCATGTCTCCCCAGTCTGGCTGCTATATTTAGAGCGGGCATTATGCCCTTTCAACAGAGAGGTTGGCAGCAGCACTTATCTCTTCTCATCCTCCACTCCTATTCCCTTTTTCTCATCTTACATTTTCCTTTCCTTTCCTTTTCAGGAAATAATTAAAATTGAATACATGTCCATAATTTAGCAACCTGTAATTTCAGCACTGTGGAAAAGTCTTGAGGCTCATGTTTTTTTTAATATAATTATATTCTTTAAGTAACCAGCTTGTCTCTTACCCATCTTAGTTCTCCATATTCAGAAAACTATGCCTAATGTGCAGCATGGTGGTGGCTGTATCATTATCTGGGTTCACTTTTTAAATGATGGTCTGGTTGTTTTATCAAATTGAATGAAATTATGAACAGTTCCTAATGCCTGTCAGTTTTTATGAAAACCTTCATGTCTATGTCTATTAGAAAATGGAAAAAGGGTGATTTTATCCCTGCTTGCCATTGTTTTACATGTTGGTACTTTAATGATTTATCTTTGATGATGCTTTAGGTCTTTGATATTGAAAGGTCTCCATGCAATCACCCTAATCTTTACCTCCCTTCATACATTCTCTATCAGATTCAATTCAGTATTCTGGATGTGCCGCTCCAAAACCATAAAATTAGTCAGAAAGAAATATTCCCATAAAATAAAAAGACTAATTTAAACCTGGGAATTCCAGCCTGAGGTCTTTCTGCATGGAGTTTGCATATGTTGGTTCTCTGCAGGTAATCCAGTTCCTCCTGCAGTTCGTTGGTCTTTTTACGTTCCTCCTTGGTGTGTGTGCCTGATTGTTTGTCTTGTGTTTTTTGTTGCCCTATGTTGCACTGCCAACCTTTCCTGGGTTTAACCTCGCTCTTACAGACCAGCATTAGACTTCAGGTGATCCTGCACAGAGAAGAGACAACGAATGGAAGGCTAGATAGACCTAAATCTATCAAGAATATGAATCATTTTGGCCTTCTCTTAAAATAAACTAAATGCAGTTTGAATTATTTTTTTTTACACAATGTTGAAGATATGTTATTTCACCACATTATTAATTTATAGTAAAATGCTTTCAAGGCATAAGCAAGCAGCAGGAGAGCAAATGTTGTCAAGATTTGCTGCACAGAGACAATATGAACACAGGAGGGAAAAAATAGGTCTGTTAGAGTTTCACCAATATTGGAAATTGTTCCCACAGTGGCACAAGTCAACTGACTCAGATGCATATTAAGGATAATAAAGCTAAAATCTGAGGCCTCACATGAATCTGAGTAAATAAATAGCAAGGGCTTGCACACGTTTGTACTTCTGACTCAGCAGCACAGACGAGAGGAGGTGCAGCAACAATATTATGTCTCACAACACTGCGTCACAGTGCATACGCACTTTCTCTCAGTGTCCAACTCCCAGGGTGGCAGCATAATGAAAAGCATCTGTTTACCTTTCATTACGGTCCAACGAGAGATCAAAAAACAAAAGAAACAGAGGAACAGAGGAGGTGGAAGCAGGAAGAGAACCAGAGCTCATATGAAAAATAAGACATTTCCTTTAATAACATCTGTAACATCATGGTTGTATTCTGGTATAATTCTGGATAAATGCAAGGACGCAGAGTACACTTTTAATGAGGACAATGAACCAATTAACTTACAAGTTAATACAACATAAACCTGCATCGTTTTCTACAAGGACATCATAAAAGGGCACAAATGGTGTAGCAGCAAAAAAAGAGTGTTGCTTTCTTGTCTCTACATAGGCTACAGCAGTACAAAGTATTTGCAGAGTAGAGATTTGTTGTAATGGACAGCTAAAATGAAGATATAAATATGTCTAATGTTTTCACTATGTCATACACAGTATGGATATGACAGGTTATAGGATGTTACAGAGTTCAGTAGGGGGTAACTAGAGTTTATTCAGACACTGTAAGCTGGAGAGAGTTTACCTTAACAGTAAATAGCACACTGATGTTGGACGTTCACACAGGAGAAGGACATCTAAGAGATACAAACATGCCCACACTGTATGTCTGCATGAAGAGGCAGGGCAGATAAATCCAGATGATTGTAGAATAAAAGTTTCCTGACAAACTGATCAGATTTCATGCATTAAAACAACGCTTGGTGAAAATGTGCATAACACATAATATACAGAGTGCAAAAGTATTAATACACCTTGAACTCTTTGATATATTGTGAAGCAATGCATTGCAGCTCCAAGCTAAAATGTGTTATATTGAGATTGTGCTACATAATTGGAAAGTGAAAGGAAATTGGTACACACCACCTACTAAGAGATGGCATTGTCTAAACACACAGCGGCAGCAAGGAGAGCATTACAACTCCTGGCAAACAAATCCCCAGAAAGCACAGCCAGAAATACAATGGGCTGGGTTGGATAAAAATATAGCCTACTTGTGTTAGGATGGCCCAGTCAAAGTCTAGACCTATCCTTTTGAGGCTCTGTGGCAAAATTTGAAAATAAACAAATTCAGACCAAAGGAGAAAACAGCTGAGACTGCTGTTGTATACTTTTCCTTCCATTTTGCAATTATGCACGAGCTAGTGTTTTGTATCTGTCATAAAAAAAAAAAGAATATCTATACAAATAAAATATATTGACACTTGTGTGGTTATTGTGGCCAAATGTAAAAAAGTCTGAAGGTTGTAAGTACTTTTGTACATCTCAAGTGAATGTGTGATTTTGTTTCTGTTGGTCCTCAAAATAGATTTTACTTATTGTTTTATCATGAATTGATCTTACAATACATGCTCTGCAATCTCTATTAGAAGTGCAATCTGTACTGCAGTCCAAATACTCACAGGTTTCCCTCTGACATTTGTTTGCTTATTTAAATATTCCCTAATCTTAAAACACAAAGTGTTAAATGCTTATGCAAATTATTCATGTCCAAACAGGAAAGACTGCAAGTGATATCACAAAAAAAACAACCAAAAAATAAAATAGAAAAATTCCCTTCCCAAGAATTAAACAAGAGGATTGATACCATAATCTATGTATATTCTGTGTATATGTGTTTTGGTTCATGAACTGGGTGGTTGGGTTTAGCATTAAGATAAAGAAACAGGGCTAAACTAGCCTGGCTCTACCCAAAAGTAACCTAATCTGCCTAACGGAGACCTTTAACCTCTTCCACCTCGGAGGTCCGAGCACCAGGACCATCTGTTAAAATTGAGGAAAAAAAAGTCAGGTTGATGAGGCTGCAGCTAATAAGACGAAAATATATGCAGAGTTTCTTTTGCAGAAAGAGCTTAAAAGGAGATTAAGCTTTCTCAGACTCATCATTATGAGGTCATTATTTACGCTGATGAAGCAGAAGTAGAAAAATCCCACTCTGATGGGAACAAGGAGGCTTTTCTGAACTGTTTCAAGTGTCTCTTTGCCATAGACCCCAAGGTTAATCACTATGGCCTAACGCTCAATCGGTCAAATCGACAATTATTTAGGGACTTTTCAGGAGAAAATTTAAAACTAACGAACTCGAGGGTTTAAAGCTAATTTTAAGTGATCTTGTATCTAAAACGTGAAGAGTGTCTGATAGTTATTCACTCGTGTTTATAATTTTATTCTGAGAGAAAAATGGACTTGTACCAACCATCCTGTGTAACTTCACCCAGAGTGATCCTAAGTACAGATGCATCTCAGTAAATAAGAAAATCAAGTACTTCATTTATTTCTGTAGTTCAATAAAAAAAGAGCAAATCTCAGATATATCATTCAAGTTTTTTTGTTCTTGTTAATTTTGATGGTTATGGCTTACTGCTAATAAAAACCCAAGTTTTTGTTTCAGAGAATATCAAAATATCACATAAGGCCAAAAAAATGTCTTTATGGGATATTATGTTATGAATTGCTGACTTGAGAGACATATGCTGAACTGCTCCACAAAAACTATACTTCTCAAAAGGCAACTGCAAAATATGTTGGTGATAGCAGAGCTCCGTCGAAACATATCAATGGAAAGTTCAGTGGAAGGAAGAAACGTGGTTGGAGTGAGTGTACAAACAGCATCATAAATAAAGCACCTTTAATCAAGTTGACTTTATAAGTGTTGTTTCTAAATGGTTTTCTAAGTGTAACAAATGAAGGGTATGTAAGAAGTCAATGCAGTAGGTGTTCCTTCTATACATACATTGAATCAAGCTTGTGTTTGTATAAGAAACAAACGACTTTTCAGACTCTGCTCTCTTTGTCAAGTGTCACTCAAGATACATGTGGAAAGTTACGAGGATGCCTCTGAAATGAAAGAACAAGCCCGTTCCGACAGGGTCTGACCCGGTGATATGACAAAATAATGGAAAGTTGAGCGGAAGGACAACGTTTGGTAAATACAAGCGCAAAAGCGATAGGGACAGTGTATTTTATTTGAATATGAAGGTCCCAATGTTTATGGGAAGAGTGGAGTGGGACAAAATCCTTGTGGCTTGATGTCCAGAGTGAAGTTTGTACAGAGATGACATGGTGGACCAACACCATGTCATCTGCTGGGGTTGGTTCACTCTATTTTATCAAGTCTAAGTCAGCGCAGCCAATCACTGGCAAGTTTTAGAAAGCCTCATGTTCTAAAACAAACCAAGTATTGAGTCCACATACTGTTTGCACAAAAAGTTATGACTAACTGAGAAAGAAACACCGACACCCTCCTTAAGAAGGGTAAGTCGTAAAAGATAATTGTGAGATAAGCTGCCAGTTAACAGAGCTGTATTCCATGATGGAAACCTTAGTGGAAGGAAAAAAATGTGTTGGCATTCTACACTCTAAGCAATCAGCTTCTTCAGCAATGACATTTTGTGGCTTATGCTCCTTGTAAAAAGGATGAGTGGATAAGGGTTTATAGAGAACTAGCAATAGAGATCTCTATTAAATATCCTTTTTCAATACATTAAGCCATAATCATCCACAATTGTCAATATTAATAGGACAAAATATTTTAATTATATCACTCTGTGTGTGGTAAATTTATAAAAAAAATTCTATTTTTGAGTTGAATCACTGAAATAAATCCCCTTTTAAAATACATTCTAATTCACTGGGATGCACCTGTAAAGCCAAAATTGGACAGTGAAAATATTGAGGTGAAACAAACACTGGGAAACCTTCCCCTCTGGACTCAGAGGACCAGTTCAGCCTCTTCTTTTAAAACAGTAATAATCCGTCTCTACACCAGAGATTCCCCTTGTTGCCAAATGCATCATTAACTCATTCAACACAGAGGAAGTAACAATAATGCTCTAATACTCTATCATTGCTATGGTACATATACATTATATATTTAATAGAGAGGTAGTGATTGAAGCATTGATTGACAGCAATAAACACTGAACAATGAGCATGGAAATAAAAAAAAAACATAATCTCATCTGAGGAGAGTATAAATACAAAGCTTATCACAGCAGCCACCGAAACAAAGTTCTGCTGCTTCAGTGCCGACACATAAATAATTCACACTGTGGATGGTAGCTTGTTTCTGGGTGACCGTTCTTCTATCAGCGGGACTGTATGAACACTGAGCCGTGAATCGCGGCGTTTCCAAGCTATTGTTGAGCAGTTTTCTAACCCCAAGCCCTAATACGTCACGGCTAAAACGTTCTCAGTCAAATTTGGCACAGCAGACAAGCTCTGAATGGGAATTGAAGGGAGGAAAAAAAAAAGACTTTAAACTCTCTGACCTGCCACTTCTTCAGCTCCACACACCGACTGACTGACAAGCTGCTCGGGAAGTAAATCTTTGTTTCCCGACTCTGCAGCCGAGCCGTCATAAAGTAACACTGAGTAAAACCGTGAGATTCAGCCTGAATATAAACAAGTTATGCTCTGGGTGAGAAACACTCCCTGCATCCGGGCTCTAACATGCAACAACAATAGCTATGTTTTCCTTTCATTGCACCGGGGACGGCTATTTGCTTGGTTTCTGTGTGCTGCACACAACACAACCCCACTGATTGTTTGAATTACACTTTGTAATTCTATAGAATCTACCATTTGTGACTCGTTTTAGCCCTCTCTGTTTAAATTCAATACATTTGGGCATCGAACCAGCAGGCCACCCAGCGTGAGTCGTTATGCAGGCGGATTAAAGATGAACACAAGCAAAACAAAGACACTTCCCGCAAATATATACTCTCCATTACCTCGGCAATCAACCTGGGACAATTATAATAAAATATAAAAGAGTGACATGTTATAAAATACTTTATATATGCTTACTTTGCAGTAAAATTGCAGAGAAACAACTGACATATATTTGCACAAATGACTTATGGCTACTAGCATTCATTTCACATTGCATGTATGCGTATAGATACGGATGCATGTGTGCCGCAGCAGCGTCAATGTCTGCATTTAGCTTGACGTCTGTGTTCCTGGTAGTATAAGTGTGAATGTTTGTGTGAGTGAAGCCGTGGAGAGCCGCCAGGCCTCATTATTGTCATTCTCCTCACTGCCGAAAAGAGAGGCAAAGAGAGGCAAAGAGAGGCAATGCGGCTCCTTTCAATTGAGGAGCTGAAGAGAGACGAACACAAAGGGCTCAAAATTAAACAAATGCCGGAAAGAGGCTTGGAGAGCCAGCCCGTGGTCATATGCTTTGAGTGAGAGTGAACGGTTGCAGGGATATCCCATCTGTGTCTTTCAGTGAGCAGACCACACAGATACCACCCGTCCCAACATTCACCCTCTCTGTTAGGTCCAGAGACACCGGGGTGCCAGCTCATGAACATGCCCCGTATCCTTCTGGTGCGTCTCAAAATACATATGTCCACCGATAACACGGTGCTGCTGCTGTTGCTGCTGCTCAAATCCTCTTGATTTAAACCTGTGTGCAGTTTTCCTTCCACTGAAAAATCAACATGAAGGACACTTTGGCCCAGTCAGTCTGGTCTCTTGTGCAGTTAAGTTGAAATCCAGTCTCCAACACAAAACAACTTAGCAGAGTCCTAGTGCCTTCATCCTTCACTCAAGTGACACAGAATGTGCATAAACACACACACACACACACACCTAGCTTTGTTTGTAGCCACTGGTGGGGACACAAGACAAGGCCACGCCACGCACACACGCACACACAAAGCTCTGCCACAGAAGCGACAAAGTGGAAAATATGCTTGCACACATACAGATCTACAGCACATTTAGGGTGTAATGATGCACGAGTACAGGTTCTAGTGTGTGCTTCTACTAATACGTCCTTCTGGTTGATACTGGACGCCCAACCATCTGCACTGTCTATTGCACAGATGCTCAGAACAGGTGATGGAGATAAAGATATTTGGTGGGATATGAAGCAAGTGGCTGGCCGGATCAAGTCCTTGTCGCTTCACACCTGAAACAACAAACAACAGAGAGGAAAGTGTTAGCATTAAAGGTGTTTTGATTGATCCCTGACAATGAAAATTCACTTATCAATCTTATCAAATATCTCCATTGGAGATTAAAGGAAGGTTCTAGATGATTGCATCCACAGTGTCTTGCAAATCTATTCAAACCCTTTGAATCTTTTCATGTTGCAACTTCAAATTTTATGTGACAGACTAAAACAAAGTGGTGAATATTTCTACAATGAAAGGAAACTGATGAAGGGTTTTCATACATTTTTGCACATAAAAATAAACAATGTTTTATTGTCCAAGCAATTCAAAAACTAGGACAACTATGGAAGTTCAGAAAAATGACAAGCAGGAGAAAGAGAGCATTAGTCAGAAAAGCAGCTAAAAGCCCATGGAAATGCTAGAAGATCTGCACAGACCCACAGTTATCAGTTATTAGTCGTAATCGTCACACATCTGGCCTTTCTGGAAGTGTGGAAAGAAGAAAGCAGTCGTTTGAAAGGCAGCATCAGGACGTCCTGTTTCCAGTTAAACACGAGTCAGGAGGGGAATTTAACAAACATGAATGGCTCTGGTTAGACGAGACCCAATTTAAAACTTATGTCCCACCTGTAAACTGGTACATAAATCAAAAACTATAAGAATCAGTCTTTCACTTCTTTTAATGTTTACATTCAGTGTTTTCTGCTCTTTGGTGGATTTGTGAAGCACTTTCCTCACTTCAGTTGTTTTAAATGTGCTGTATAAATAAGATAATGACCCCTTGAATATATATATATATCCAGAGAAACTACAGAAAGGCTTAGATCACATATACCAAACTCCAGGCCTTGAGGGCCTTTCAGATGTGTCTCTGCTTCAGAAAGCCTGAATCAAATAAGTGGACTGTTAGCAGGAAACTAAAACTGTGCTGAGGAGGTATTTCATCCATTTGGTTCAGGTGTGTTGGACCACAGACACATTTAAAAGTTGCAGGACTCTCAAAACCTGGAGTTTCACATTCCTGGTTTAGTTTAAAACATGTTTATGTGTTACATGAACACAGTCAAAGTCCAGATCTAAGTTCAAATTGATAACTGCTGTCCAGTCTGACTAAACTTGTGTATTTTGGCAAGGAAGAGTGGACAATATTTCAGACTGCAGATGTCACACCTTTCTGACTTCATTGTAAAAACATTTGGAAACCATGAATAATTTTCCTTCAACTTTCCTATTTATCACTCTATTAATGTATCTCTGATCCTGTATATCCATATGCATATGTTTGCTGTGCAGATTTGTTTGTGCCATTCATATGGACTGACTTGCAACGATGAGAGTTGAGAGTCTGGCCTTTTCGACTGCAGTTCTTGGCTTTGAGGGTGCATCTGCACTGACACGACGTTCCATCCAGGGCCCACTTCCTTCCTCTGCAGGGGCGACACCGAGGTGTCGGTGACGGAGGCAGAGAGGGGCTTAGGGTGGTGGGAAGAAGAGATGGAGGAGGTGGGGGCATGGAAGGAAGAATCACAGGAGCATGGGTTCTGGAGAAAGCATAAATAATTGACAACACTCATAAACGGTTGTTTTTTGTCATGCAGCTTTCTAAATTTCAGCCTAATAAAAGTATTGTTTTCATAGCTGGATTGATTTGGAATTAGAATTACTTTTAATTAATCAAAAGTAGCACATTAGTGGTGTGAATAATTGTATTTTAAATCAAAAATAATGAATGCCTACCTCACGGAGAGCTGCTTCATCTGAGAACTGTACATGCGGCACCGAGGCTTCAGTGAGGAGGAAGGAGGAGGTAGAGTGGTGGGAGGAGGAGGTGGAGGAGGAGAAAACGTGGAGGGAGGAATCAGAGAAGTGTGGGTTCTGGATGAAAAGGAGATGCAAAAACCACAATAGTTAGACTCATAGTTAATACAAATAAAGAGGAATCCTAGAGTGCTACAGTAATCTTAAGCAATAACCAATATTTGGATACAAAACGTATATAACATGTATAAGTATGTAGTTGATAAAATACAACGCAGCACAAGTCAATATAATCCATGAAAGTACATATTAAAATGTTACAATTTGGTAGAATGTGATGAAAATATGACGTGAATATGTATGATCATTGTGTTATTTTATACACAATATGAAATGCTGCTACACATTACGATGCAGTTTGTTATGATAAAATATAAGAATATGAGAGGTTGTGATATGATCAATGAGATGTCGTAAATTATAAAATTATTATTAGCTGTGATTTAAAGCAAATATTGATACAAAACAGCATACAATACAACATTAACACAATATGATCAATGACGTGGGGAGAGGGATACTATATAATAAAATGTAAACATTTGCTACATTATAATGAATGATATGATGAAATACAGTAGATTAGATAATGACATATTATTTCATAACAGGACAGGAGGACAACTCTTTTCCCTGTGGATCAGTTGCCATAGGGGAAAAGAGAATAGCTAACTTTTTAAAAAATAAACATAGATTATACAATTTTGTCCGTTCACTCTTGTTTTCTTTGCTGGCATTTGGACAAAAACTGTACTTTCAACTGATGTCAGACTTGCATGACAAGCTGATGGTTTTATTTTACTATCACAGGTCCATCTTTGACAAGAATAAATTGACTCTTTTTAAGAATCCTAAATGAACACAGACTGGACAGCAGAGCTTGTTGGCCAGGAACAAAAATGTGTGACAGATCTGTGAAATAATTACTGGGATATTTTAGTCTGGATAATAGTGATGCACTTTCTAAAAATGAAATGCAGGGCTTGTTTGAACATGCACACTGTCTGTCCGAGACAAACCCCCACAATGTAGTGAGTGGGAGATGTGTGACTAATGTGAGATAATGTTTCTTTAGAGGCTGACAAACTAGCTCCTCTGTTTGTCCGTCTGTCTCTCTGTCTGTTACCATGGCTATGATCGCCTTGTTGCCTTTCTGTTCTTACGGTCCCACCTCTAGATGCCCTGATCTTTCGCTCTCCAAAGTCTAAGTCTGAGAAAGTTGCCTGCGTCAGTCGGTCCATTAACTGGAGCTGCTTCTGCCTCGCTCGTCCCCGGGAGGCCGGCGGCTTTAATGAACTTACTTAATGAGGCAGAGAGGAGCCATCTTTGTTCGCATCCCGGTGACCACGCCTGCCGCTGGCATGGACAGAAGAAGTGGCATTTGGGAGCAGATTACACAGATTTCACCCCTGCCAAAGTGTGAATAAAGCCTTTTCTGAGTGATGGATGGGTGCTGGGGGACATCACACCCAAATGGAGCCACCTCTGGCCCCAAGGGTCCGGAAATGACTGACAATAAAGTGAAGGGGAAGCAGATGAAAAACACTACAGAGGAAAGAAGTGCTAAATCTTTTACCCTTCAAGAGTTAATAGTGATTATATTCCCAAAGTGTATTGGGAATTATATAACAGTATGTCTCACAGCTCCAGACAGCACATATTGGCCAACTTCTGGCTAAATACTCAGTTGATAACCGTGACTAAGGAGTTTATCTGTGGATTATGGTGATGTGTGTGTGTGTGAGTGAGACCTTGACTGTTGCTGTGGCTGTAAAACAAATTGTCCTTCAGTAAAAGCGTAGCCCAGATAACCCAGTTTTCTCTAATCGAAAGGCTCTCACTAAGCCCGAAAGTATCCAGAGAACCCAGACTGCTTTAAGAAAAAAACAGGGTTAATCTTCAAACTGAGCTAAAATGTCTAAAGAGTGCAAACAATGCTGAACGTACACAGATCTGATGGATCCGGTTTTCCTCTGCCTGGACTTCCTCCCCTCTTTTTTCCTCTCTTTTCCTGCTGACTTCAAATGGAGCCTGAGAATGACAGCACACATTTTGTTAAGACTTTACATATAATGACAAGAAACTGATCATTATTTATAAAAAAAACAAAAAAAAAAACCAGCTAAAACAATAGGTTTGAAGTTTATAGCAACTTCCTTATTAGAATATGAGAATTCCCACCAAATTCATTATATGACAAAAATAAAGGCTTTTCTCCAGTCTTATTTAGTTGTAAAAATTATTTCTTGCATCATCATAATTTATTATGTCATAAAACAGCTGACAGTAAAAAACCACGTGTAAAAAGGAAAGTTTTGTGGTATTTCTGTCTTTAGGGCCACAATAACCCTCTGATTTTGGTCAGGTTAATTTTTAGACAAATACTGGAAAAAGGTTTTAATATTGACAGTAATGAGATGTGACTGTGGCAAAACACAAATGGGCATCATTTTCTGCAGGATATTTAAAACTAAGATTTTGAACCAAAGGAACGTTGTAACTCGACACACAAATAAAAACAGAAGTTCTCTAATGTGCTGCAAGAACACCTGGGATTTAACATCATTGTCCTCCTCATTCTGTCCTCTCATCAAACTCAAACGACTTGTTGACTATTTTTACAAGCTGTGCTACTGCTAGACGCTGTGCTAGTTAAAGTTAAGCCTCAGTAACGCTGGTTGTAAAGCGGCTCCTATGTAGCGCTGTTTGCTGGTGACCTACCAAGATGGCGCTTTCCCATTTTGGCCATCTTCTTAAATCCTGGCTTGTCAACACAACCTCTGGGTCATAACTATCTATCTTTCCTTGTTAACCTTTATCCAGACATGAGGACAGTTTGATCTGACATTATAAACAGCCCCTCATGCCACTGTTGTTGTTTTTGGAGCTCTAATTTACTATTATGGATGCGTGACTGTGTCTGGGACAGAGCACATGGCAGGGGAGATAAAATCATCACTATGGTGACAACAGGAAGCGGGCCATCCCAGAGGGAGACGGGACGTTTAAAGAGAGTCAGACAGATGCTAACTCCCTAATGAACACTCACTATCACTCAAAAACATATTTTAAACAAGCACAAAAGTGTTTCCACACAGCCAAAAACAAAGTATTTTGGAGTTCAGACTCTACGTTATGCACTTGATCTGTAATTAAAACATTAAATATGGCCAGGATGAATGAACACACATAGGTTGGAATCCCTTATCTATGTCCACGCCCAAACAGGAAGCAGGAGGACATCAACATTATGGATGCAATTATATGACTTTGAGGCTGGACCTGGCAGTGTGAGGCGCACAAACAAACAGACCCAGCAGAAATGTTTCTTTCGCAGCGTTCACACGAAGAGCATGGTTTACCATCTCTGAGTTCATTTACAGTAAGTAGAGTTTAATGAGTAATAAAATTATCTGAAATCAACTCCCGAATACCGCAAAACTTCAGATGAGTTAACGATAAACAGGAAGTTGCATGACAATAAAACATAATGGTGAAGCAGTCCTGTCAGAGCCTGTTTATGTAACGATTGTATCCCTGCACTGAATCCACCTTGCAACTACAGCATTGGGTATTAAAGCCACTTTACAGCTGGCTGCTGAAAGACTCCCTGGGGAGAATTTCCACCTCAAATTTATTAGAGGCCAATTCACACACAAATGATGCGATTCACGCTGTTGGCCCACAGGTCTGCACCTATGGACCAACTTTACTAATCTGCAGGTGCAAGCAGAAAACTAGAGCAAAAAACTGTTGCTATTTCCTTCATGATTTTTAAGATTTTCTCAAACAAGAAGTAAAAATTACCAAATGAAAAAAAAGAAAGCCTGCATATTGAAACTAAGGTACAAACTTTTACAACGTATAAGAGTGACGTCAACACCAACATGATCTAAGAGTTAAAGTTACAGCCGAGTGCAGCTAAAAACTGCAGATGATTAATACATCATCAGCAGTTAGGGCCAAATGTTTGGGCGGGTTTGAAGCCCTGGAGCACAAAACATCAGCAAGGACCTTCAAGAAGTTGCTTTTGAGGCCCATCAATGTGAGAAGAGTCTAGTAGCAGCCAATCAGTGCAGAAGAGATCATCCCAGAAAATCCAACCCAGGGTCACACCATGAAACATTCAAGGAAATTGCTAAAAAAAATCCCCAAAAATAACAATGTAAGTCCATCAGGACCAAGTTAAAAGATTAGATGTTAAAAGATTAGATTACATGTTATAAACAAGCGATACTTGTTTTAAACAAGTATCGCTTGTTTATAACAATTTCTAGGAGAAACTTTTTGCAGATCATTTAGATCTTCACAGCTGGATGAACCACAACTTCTGGATCTGTTTTCTTTATGTAGATCAGATGTTGAGTCATGTTGCACACGGCCATGTTTGGAAAAGCAAACAGAACACAGCAACATGTCTAACACAGTGGATCTCAGGTCACTGACATGATCTCTGGCTGCAGGACGTGGGCACCTTGTCGTCACTGAGATAATCATGAACTCCTCTGCAAGCCGAAGTAATTTCAAGTGTAACTCTTTCCATCCAACAATCTTGGATCATTCACAATCGGGTGAATGATCCAAGACACGCCAGCAAATCTTCAACAGAACGGCATAGACAGAAAGCAACCAAGCTGTTGTGATGGCCCAGTCAAAGTCCAGAGGTGGTGGAACCTTAAGTGAGCTCTGCATGAGCAAATGTGCACAAACCTTAATGAACTGAAGCAATTTCATAAAGAAGACTGGGATAAAGCTTCTTCAAAACAGTTGTGAAACCACCAGGTTTCCTCATCCTTTCACATTTTTTTATGATTCATCATTAAAATCTGTAAATAAGTCAGGTTTTCTCTTGATAAGATCGTGACATATCATTAAATATAAAATGAGACCAGAGCGGTGTTACCTGGTAGTGGGTGTTGGCTGGAACTGCTCCTTTAACCTGTGGGCAGATATAAAAAGGAGAGCAGTGGGGTCAGTGAGCAGCAGGTACTCCATAAATCTCCAGACAGACGACCGTTTTTATTACCTGCACTCGCACTGGCTGTGCTCTACAAAGGGCAGCTCGATGAGCTCGTGTTTCATGAAGGACGTTCTCATCAGCTGCACACAGAGCCGAGAAGAAAAGTTACTTCACACTTATCATCTAACCAAAACACAGAGGTGTGTGTGTGTGTGTGTGTGTGTGTGTGTGTGTGTGTGTGTGTGTGTGTGTGTGTGTGTGTGTGTGTGTGTGTGTGTGTGTGTGTACCTCCATGGTGAGAGTGTGTGTTAGGGAAGGCACACACTCCAAGGCCTCATCGGCGCAGCAGCCGCCACATCGCTTCACAGACACACAGGACGGGACGAAGAGGTGATGGATCTCCCCCGGCAACTCCCGCCAAACCTCCACCAGAGTGTCACGAGGCTCGCAGCCGCTGCGGGAATACACCTCCAACCACCGTCGCACTGACAGACAGGCATATGAAACACGTTTCCAGTGATGATTTTACACCTTCAACTCCCTGTATGGGGATTCTCTGACGGATATTTTTGGACATACCTTCCCGGCCTTCCCGGGATCTGGGGGAGTCTGCCGGCCGCCAGTGAGCGAGCTTGAGAGACAGTAAAGATGGTGAACGTGAAGATCAAATGTTTGCTCTGGCGAAGTTTTAAAGACGAGCTCAAACTTCATGCTCTTCTATGAAACCATAGTTTGGTATTAAATTCAAGATTTTCAGAGGCAAACTAAATGAAATCCCACTGCAAACCTCTGCATCCGGTGGAGGACACGCAATGAGCAACATGTTGCAGGAGTTTTAGGGTAGAAAGCAAAGCATTAACTTACTTATGAAAGTGCTGATAATATTTTAAAAACCTCTCATTATTTAATATTCCAAAACACATAAAACACAATATATGTGACCTCTGAAATAAGAGAAAAAATAAAAAATAAAACATTTTTTTTCTATTTATTGCTGCATTTAAAAAATAGTAAGTTAGTAACCCTAATTGACCTGAAGCAAGACAAAGTTAGTTTGATTTAAAAACAGACAGTGAGAAAAATTGTTGTTGTTTTTTTAGAATGTATAGGAACATTTAGACTAAATGCTGGGGATATTGTAATATGTACATTTTATATTTGTGAACACTATACGTATGATCTTCAAAAAACAAGAGTGAATAAAATTCATAAATGTGTTAAACATCTCACATTTTACTCCTAAAACACATAAAAGACAAAACTACATTAAAGAAAACAAGATAAAGCAATAAACTAAACACAAAGATAACAAAAATACAACAAATTCAACTTAAAATCTTGTTCTGAAAGTTTATGTTGCATATTAAATATCAACATCACATATTCAAAATTCACGGTGCATAAATAGCTAAATTAAAAAAATACACAATGGTTAAAAATACATACTCAACATTGTCAAGTATATCTGCTTTATCCTGGCAGGATTGCAGGGGGCTCTGGGAGCGGTCCGCCCTGCACAGGTAGCCAGTCCATTACAGGGACACACAACAAATGACTATGAACACACAGTCATTAATGAAACCATAATTTTGGAGCCTCAGTATTATAATTTCTGTATCAGATCTAAAGCCAAGGCATGTCATTAGATGCTACGAATCCACTTATCCATATTTATTTCTGGAGTAAAGCATTAAATAGCTGCAGTCATCCTAGTTTTATTGTCTCCAAACTCCGCTTTGACGTTGCGAAACCCGGCTGGAGCAGATCCAAAGATCAAAGTGTCTCTTGTTAATGAACACCACAATATTTCACACCTGGGATCAGAACATGACAGGCTCAATAAAGCCTGGTTTATAGATAAGAGGAACAAATAGTAATAAAAAAAGGACCTGGAAACCTCTGAACTTTGATACTGAGGGTAACAGCAGGTGCAACAGCTAATTTAAACATCAAGGCACATTTTTGGCAGCATATTATACAATACACTTTCTGCACAGGTGAGGTCTGCTGGTTTACTTGAAGTGACAATGGCTGTGCACATGATCAAATTTCTGCTTCGTGATGTTGGAGAGGAGCAGGCTGCTCCACATTTGAACTTGTTGCACCTGCTACCTTTGCCCTCAAGCCCACAGATGGATTAAAAAAAAACTTCTACCAAGGATCACAGAGGAAATGTCAATGGGTGAATTATGCAAGATAAATTCAATTTATTTTCACTTTGACTGATCTGCTGTGCATACTATATATTATTTTGCTGTGTCAAATAGTGTTCTAATGCCCCACAGCTGTCTGAACAACTTAAAGATCCACACATCCTTTCTGCATATTCTCAATCTTCTCAACACTTTTATTGTCAAGAGTGAAAATAAAATACTATTGAACCAAAAAGGACCCAATTCTTCCTGATGCAGACTTATTTTCCTGTAGGTTATGAAGGACTGGGTTGCTTGATCTATTTCTTATTGAAATAAATGTCTTCATTTAAAAAGAATATCAGAAAACAGAACCAAAATCAGTGAGTTGTTGAAGTTCACAACTTGCTAATGTACCATTATGTTGGCAGAGACAGTGTTTCTGTTTAAACTGTGCTGATAATCTGCTGTGCTTTTTGGTATTACCAAAAGAATAAAAATAATTTCAGATATTATGACCAGCTCAAAAAATATGTTACTTAATGAAGTTTCTACCAGAGTGAAGTGAACCAGAAGTATTTAAGTGGCAGCCAAAACCAAAGCCAATAAGATTTGTTTATGCATTTTAAATTCACAATTCAGTTTTTCTGAATTTCTCCTTACATCCCTTTGTTGCACATATGAAGCCAAAGCAAATTAAAGGCACAAGAAAAGTCAAAAGAAGAAAATATTTTCCCAATTTGCATTATGGGTGCATTAAAAATGTTTTCAGATGTTTTTCCTAAGAACAGAGTGATTTCTGTTAATTTTCTTTAATTATATTCTGCATTGTTAATGATATTCTGTTTGTCCGCAGCTACATGAATGATGAGCTTGATGAATGAACAGTTTGTCCTCTCAGAGCTTCATAGATTGGTGACCTTTTATAACATGATGTGACAGACTTGTTACCAATTAAGTTAATTAGTTTGGAGTTGCTCTCTTAGCTCCAGCCTTGTTGGCAGGACATATCCTGGCACAGTTTCTGTCTTTTGCTTTCAAAAATCACAGCTTACTTTCAAATATGCTGTTGACATCAAATTTAAGAGAATGCTTCCATGAATTCACCGTGTCTTGTTACGGAGCTTGTTTGAAGGCAACATTGAGTCCAAAACACATTTATAAAGGTCACATGTTGTTTTTATACACAGTGCACATGTTTTTGTTATTCTATTGTTGTAAATATTTAACTGTACTTTTTTAAAATTACATTTGGGTTATAAATGTTAGCCATTTTCTCTGTGCTCCAATGAAAACAAAGAACATCATAATTTTTATTTTGTATCATTGTATTGCATGGGACTGCACTAATCAATAGTGACCAGAACTGATAAGTTTTAATCTCGACAGTGAGCAATTATTTGGACGGTGAGAAATCCTACAATTTCTCCAGGCTAGTGAACACGTCATAAATAAACAGCCAATTTGCTCTTTGCAAGCTGCAGAAAAAAACATATATTTTATTTTGTTGAGCTTTTAACCTTCTTTAAAATCTGCTGTAAAACTTTCAGCCAAACAGAGGGCAGCCTAGGAAATACACAGAGAGGAAATACACTCATAATGCTAACTATTTTTATTGTTTTAATTGTGTTATTTTATGAAATAATAAAATCTGATCTTGCTGTAAAGCTGGATCAACGCAGCTATTCAAACACTCACAGACACAAATCCTCAGCTCTTCGTGTGAATAATTAATGTTGGTTCACAGCAGGATTGCTGCTTAAATTACTTTGTACAAAAAATGAATTAATAATTTATTGAAAATCATAGATCTAACAGTAAAATTAATTTTGCACAAATGTATCCAGTGACACAACTTATGTTTATTTTATAAAGAGCTACTGTGGATAGAATAAAAATAAATAATTTTGTCTTAAATGAAGCAGGTTTGTGTATTTGTTTGGGGAGGGAGGGCATTGTTAAAATATTAGGAAGCAGTAATTTGTCATAAAAGAGATATACCATGTACAGCTGAGTTTTATTTCCACAGATATCTTTATCTAATGACACAGATACTATCACTTTTATTAGACTGGTGAAAAAACCCCATCTTGGATCAGATGTTTTATAACTCTCCTCTTGTATGATTTGGTTGATTTCTTTTCATTTTTCATGATGTCAGGAAAGGAAGCAGCATGTTTGAGGTGCTGACTTAAAATACATCCACAGATTTGTCTCTGTTTAACTCAGGTGTTGTGAATTAACCAATGAGAAGCTTGCAAAACTGTGACATCATCATCATCATCATCATCATCATCATCATCATCATCATCATCAGGGTTTTGCTTAAAGGAAAGTATGATTTGTTTTCCAGGCACATAGTACCATTTTATAGCACAATCAATTAACTATGTTAATTTAAGTTGTCATAAAATGCAATATACATCAAGTATAAATTAAAATAAATTTCACTTTGTAATTTAATGCTTTGAAACTGTAGCTATGTCGCTTTAAAAACTCCTGATCTTTCTGAAGCTCCACTTTCAGGAAGTTATTACAACAACATTATTAAACCTTTAACAAAGTTTTTACCAGTGTTTCACTGAGAAACAGCTCAAATAATGAGCACCACCCAGAAAACCAGCCAGGTGTTTTTCACAGCTGAACTGTTGCCACTGGAGATTAAATGATTTCTCAAACATGAATGAAAGAATCAAGGCAACACTTCATGTATGTTGTTGATTAGGAAATAACATTATAACATAACGTGAAGCTCAAAAAAGCCAATATTACATAATGCTGGCCCTTTAAAGACAAAATAGTTCTAATGTATTTCTCTTTGATTTTTCTGGCATTTAACAATAGAAAATGTTTTGTCTAATCTAAGGTCCAGGTAGAAAAACAAAATGGCTGACCTGGAGAAAAATGTGAATGATCCATTTCCACCATCAGACTCTAATATCACAGCATGTTACAACATTTAACATGTTTTTTTTAAGAGAGTTATGCCCAGCAGTGTTATCTGAGTGTTAAAGTGATACCCAATATATTTACTTTCACTAGTGGAGCATTACAACTTTCACACATTAAACTTTATTAGAAATTTGGCTTTGGGTATATTTCAAATGTAATGAGAACTATGGAAAAAAAGCTTAAAGAAAAATAAGTTTTCAACATTTCACATGTTTTCCTTGTCCTAATTTCTTGAAATTCTGAGTTTAAAGTATCTGCAATATTCTGCATGACAATATAACTGATGCTCTAAATTTAGTACTGCAGTATTTTTACAACTCTAAACAACCTAAACAGATTTTCTTCCTGTGAAAGCAGAAAGAGTGAAAACAGACTTTACAGCTCGGGGCTAGTCTCTGTGTGCATGAAGACCAAGGCCACTCGTGAGGGAATGTAGACTTTGTCCAGTGGCCCCCTCCCTCAAAGTGCTCCACCTCCTGTTACCGCTCTCTCACACACATGTTTGACTCTTATTGATTCAACAATAGTAAGTTAAGCTGCAACTGAGGCCATTTTGTGACCGGTTTGAGCTAAACTATGTTTCTGCTCTATCTTTGAGACAAAGTCTCAGATTAACTCATTTTGGCAGCCATATCTGCCTTTCTCGCTCATACACACAGACACCCACCCTTTAAATACGAGTGCCAGCCCAGAGCCATCTGCACTGGCAGCGCTATCTGTCAACAGTCTAACCAGTCTCACTCCCAGCCACTCCCTGGGCCCACTGTACAGATGGGGCTGTGTGTGTGTTGAAAGGAGGAGATGTGACACCAGCGAGGCTCATTGCCACCACAGAAGAAGGATGACCCCCTTTTACAAATAAGCTGTCGGGGAGGCAGACAGCACAAAAGCAGAACGTCTCGGGGTGTGAAGGTGAAGAGGCTTTCTGGTGTTTCATGTAGTGTCAGGGATGATGAATGACTATAAGCTCTAGCATTATAGCGGCAGGGTGCTGCTGCACTGCCTGTCCCTGATTCCAGCCTCCTGACATTAAAGCAGAACGTGCAAAATTGTCCTGCAGAATAAGCCCATAAATCTCACCAAGGACCATATTAGTGCAGTCAATATGTGTTTATTATGATCTATAACTTTCTGTCTGAATCATAGAAATAAAAAAGACAACAATAGCACTTTTATGTGTAATGTGTGGTAAATTTAAAAACATATTAACAAATAAAATAACTTAATTCTTTGTTGTTTCTATAAGTATTTTTAAAAAAACTGTTCAAATTGATATATTAGGGTTGACAGATTTCTTTTCTTAACTTTTATAGGACACACTGAAGCTGCTACTTGCTGTTTTTCAGACTATAAGAGGGTTTTGGTGGCATTCTGCCAAAGCTCATCCACAACTTTTAGAGTCACAGACTTAGCTGTTCACTGTGTTCCTATGAAACACTAAACAGATATGTAATCTTTCCATCAAACGCCAAATGAAGACAAAACATACATTTAGACTTTGCATGTAAACCTTGTTATTTTATTCTAATGCTTAACAGTCACTCAAAGGTGTGAAAGAGTTTTTTTTGCGCCCCAATGTTTAAAAAGGTTAAACATCAAATCTTTCACATTTAATGAGGAAGGATCGAAAAACAACACAAACAAGTACCAGAGAGGGGATTTTCCATAACCTGGCAACTTATTAACTGTCCTTATGAATGGTTCAAACCTGATCCAGCAAGAACTGGAAAGTTGAAATCTTTATAGCAACACAAGTTATTACACCAATTGCAGTCAGATGTCACTAAATCTTTGAACATACTTGGTAAACAAACAGCATTATGAAGACCAAGAAACACAGCACACGGGTGACGAATGAGGTTGTGGAGATGTTTAAAGCAAGGTTAGGTTATGGAGGAATATTTCAAACTTTGAACAACTCAATCCATAATCTGAAAACAATATATGAAGAATATGTCATATCAGTGGATGTAATATCATAAAGGCTCATATGAAGTTACAAAACTGTTAAAATAATATATACAAGAGAGTTCAAAAATTGCATGAAGAAATTCAGCCTGTATTCCACACATATATCACTGCCCAAGATCCTCAAGGTGACAGAGTGTTGGAAGCCATGATGCAAAAGAAAATATTATGTTATTCTAAATTATATAATGGCGGTGTGTCTACTGTTTCACAATCGCATAACTTTATATTGGTCTTCCCTGGAGAATGGCAGACTTAGTAAGATGTGACTGTCAGCCTAGTTAATCAGAACAGGGGCGATAAATCAGAGAAGCATCCAAGAAGACCAAGGTGACTGAAGTAGCTGCAGAGATCCATTGCTCAGGCAGATGAATCTATCTACAGGATACCTATTAGTCAGGCACTCCACAAATCTGCTCTTTATGGAAGACAGGCAAGAAGAGAACCATGTAATGTTCACCACAAACCATCTAGCGGACATTGCAAATATGTTGAAGAAGATTCTCTGGTCAGATGAAACCAAAATTTTACTTTGTAGCCTAGTCTGGATTATTGAATTTTTTTTATATAGCTCTAAATGCTGCAGCTTTTAGGTAGTACAAAGGAGCATGAGTCTATAACTCCGATCTTAAAATCTGTTCATTGGCTTTCTGTTTGTCTGCATACTGATTTTAAACTTTCACTGCTCACTTTTAAAGTTTTAAATGGGCGAGAGCCATCTGATCTTCTTAACTTCCACACACCTATCAGAGAACTCTGGTCAACCAGCCAGTTTCACCTTGATGTTTCAGGGTCAAAGCTAAAATGTAAAGATGATTGAGCATTCGTCGCTCACCTCTACCTGTTCGTACTGCTAAGACTCCACAATCATTAAATGTCTACTAAAAACTCATCTCTTTTCTCCAGCCTATGACAGATTATGTATGAGGTGCTTAATAGTTAGCTGCTTAGTTTTAAAATATTAACTCTGTGTTTTATTGACTTTTCTTGCTGTTTTTATTCCATCAGATGTAACCGTGAAGCTCTTTGGTCAGCTGATATACTTGCTCCAGTCCAAGTGGGTCGACGTCCTGTCAGTTTTAGATGTGACTTTGCTCCAACACAACTGATTCGAATGGCCCAACTCGCTCCTCAGAGTGTCATTAAGTTCTGCAGAGGGCTGATAATTACCTATCATTTGAGTCAGGTATGTTGCACCAGGGAAAGAACTAAAACATGCATGTTACTGGCCTCAAGAACACCACTGTATTAAAAAAAATTACAGGTAGAAATGAATGCCTTTAATTGAATACTTTGTTCAAATGGTCCAGTCAAAGTTCAGACCAAACTGAGAATCTGTGCCAACTCTTTGTCCTTCAGTCTGGATGAATTGGAAATTATTTTACAAAAAAATAACAGGAAAAGTATTTTAGTCTCTATAAAATACCTGCAGAAGTTTTTTTTCAGGCTGCACTTTAAAGATTTTAATTTTTAAAATATTTTAACCCCTTTTACAGCAAAATGCTTCAAACCAACACACCATCAGATGTCTTATTTACATCCCCAATGCCGGTTGATGCACATTGAACACATACTAAATATATTTAAGAGCACATTGTCATTCTATAATGGCCGGAGTAAAGCCAGATTCTGCCTATCTTGGCTCATTGGTATGCTAAGTAAATAAATTTACACCCATAGCGTTTGTTTTACACAAATTAATAACCCCACTTAATTTAAAGCCTGATAGCAAAAGCAATTAATTTTTTTATATACATATGTTAAATTTTTTAACCACCTCATAGTTATGCACTACTTCCTGTTGGTCTCATTAAATCCTAATAAAATGCACTGATGTCTGAGGTCAAGTTCAAGAGCTTTGAGCACCTTGTTCAGACTGACGCATAATGTGACTGGAAGCTTCTCTGGGCATAAATGACTGCTGATTAACTGCCCTGCAACATCCTGAAGGTCTGTGTTTGTCAGTCACATGACCTGAGGTGACAGGTGTCATCGACCTCAGGGATAACTTCTGCAAAAGCAACAAAGAAAACCTGAGCCCCGCAAAATGAGGCTCCGTGTATAATTATCACCCCGCACTCGCACTGACCCCCGGGGTCAGATGAGACAAATAAAACATACCTTGGCATGGAAGGTCGGTATTCTGGTGAGCAGCAGGAACTGAAACATTCCTAAAACAACTTGGAGCATAATCCCCATCGTGCAGGAGTCAAAAGGCGCACCTTCAAAAGTGTTTTTGGTCCAATCCAAAATAAAGAAGAAAGAAAGAAAAAGACAAGAGTAGGTGGCTTGTGTTGGTTTTCTTCGCCGGTTACAGACGCAGATGTCCCGCTTTCATTCTCCAGTCTCCCTTCCTTGGAAGCGCTCCCAGGGTGGCATCATCAGAGCTGGAATATCAACTTTGCTTTCTTGCATTTGGGCTTAAATTAGAGCAGAAACATACCCAGGATCAGTTTCCAGACTGAAGTAAGTTCAGCACAGACGGCGTGTGCCTCTCTGTGCGTGTTTTTAGTGTATAACCTTGGGAGCACAGCAGCAGATTCGGGCCTTTGTCTTGAAAAAAATGAATGAACTTTAAATTAAAGCCCGTTTCTTCAATCGGTCCCGTTTGGCTCGGATCCCTTGAAGGCAGTGATGATGTGGGGGGTTCCAGTCTGGCGTGGCGTGACGGAAGGATTATACAGATTCCCGCTGAAACGTGGAGCGATCAGAAAATCCTGGCGTGTCTATAATGAACACACACACACACACACACAAAACGGCATCATCCAGGAATAGGACGTTTTATCCGGTGAAGATCCGCCGTGCTGAGGAACAGCTCTGCATATTCCTCTCCTCTGATTCGGTCACGCTTTCACTCCACTGTCGCTCCAAATTCAAATGTGACGTCTCCTCTCCGGGCGCATCTCTCCGCTGCTTTCGTTCTTTAAAAATTACCTCCTCATAAATAACCCCGAACCTCCTCTGACATGGAAGTGCATCTGCGGCTGAGGCAGCAGCAGCAGCAGGGCAGTCCGCGCACACACACAGACACAGGCAGAGCCAGAAAGAGCCGCGGAAAGGTGCAGCGCTCTACATTTGTTATTGTGATCGCTTTCCTCGCTTCCTTTGCCCTTGAGACGCACGCTGCGTAACCGTTGCGCCGCCAACTTTCTTCCGAGCGGGACAGGCGCACTGGATACAGGTGCAGCGTCTCTATTGGTCCCAGAGTGAGGGATCAGGGGGGCCTCCGGGGGCCCCCACTATGCAAGGAGGGGAGCGTGGCCGTGCTTGCCTCTGAGGACACGGGGGTCATGCCTCTGGAGGATTCCTTTAAAATTCAGTTAGCCTGAGGGGCTATAAACCAGCACATGTTGAGCCTCATATGGTCAGATTTAGGGGAATTGTGTATTAAGAAAGCTGGAAAAAACGAACTCAGAAATATGTACTCTGATAATTGTACTTCATCAGCTTTTTTTTTGACTAAATAAAATATCATAAATTAAAATACTGACTTTTAAAATATATTTCTTCCAATCAGCACAAGTTCAAGATCATGTAGGGAACCTGGGATGATTTTTTTAGGGATGACACATTTTCAGTTAAACCCACAAAAACATATCATGTCAAATGGACCACATCATGACATGAACATCACTTCACTTTAGTGAAGTAGGAAATACGTTTATCTGATTTCCACTTCCATTTGTTGTGCATACTTCTTTTTAAGTTTTGTATTCTTTTAAATGTAATATTCACACAAAATAACAGCATTAACATGGATGGTGTCGGTTTAATAAGTTAAACAGGGCCGATATTAGCAACTGATGTAATTTCTGTCCTGTTGCTGTTTGTGTGTGAGGGTGTTGGTCATGTCGGGTCTGTTTGGGGATGTCACACTGATGCAGCACAGGACAGTGGGATGTTTACCTGAAGAGCAAAGCAAAGTTAGTGGTGTGGTTAATTTCTCATGGTATTGAAAGGGAATGGAAGTCTATATTAGTAATTATCTGGTTTGGGGCATAGTAGTAGTAATAATAATGTTCATACTGCCCAAAAGTTCTGCATTGGGGCGTCCTTTCCCGTAGAAATCTGAATTTAAAAACACAATGGGCACAATCACAACAATAAACGTTTTCCAGGTTCGCTCGGATAGATTTACATGGCTGTACTTGTAACTTAAAGGACAAAGTTTGATTAATCACAAAATTAATCTTGGTCCATTTTCTAAATATTGTAGTAGATTAAAGTTATAACTTAGCTTGTTTAAAAGTTCCTTCTCAAGTTTTAACTGCTGCAAAATATGCAAATAAGACTGTATGAGGGTTAATGGTGAATGGGGGGAATTTTAAGAGGGCCACAGCCCCCCTTCTCCCTGCACTAGTGGCGCTACTGTTTAATAAGCAGGCTCATTTAACAAATGTATTTACTCACCCATTAGTAGCCCTCTTTACCACTTTGACTGGTGGGGTTGTTCCACAGAATAGAGATTAATATTGCACAATAAAGAAATAGTTTATTTTTAAACTTTTTGTTAGAGCCATTAGTTTCTCATTTATGTACTTTTCTTATGTATTAATCTGAGTTACTAGCTACAATTTGTTGTAGAGTAGCTGTGTAATGACATTAAAGGCTCTACTACTAATTGGTCTCTTTTGTGTCCCATCAATGTAGTCACTCTGAATACATTGCAAAGGTGTAATTATGACCGTAGAATCGCTCATTTTGATAATAAAAAGTCTTTACTTCTGTAAGCATTAATGCGATTCTGGATTGATGGAAAATGTAACTTGTTTTAAATTAGTCTTAAGAGACTTTTGTTAATCCTTGTTACTATAAAATATTAAATGAGGCCATTTGTTAACTGTGATGGTTTTTTTTTTAATAAAAAGACTTTTTTTAATTGCCATTTTACTTTCTATTGTTTGTCAAACAAATATGCCAGGAGTATTATTCTGGGGTTTGACTGGCAGTTTTCTCTGCATCTCATTAAACTAAACATGAAAGCCAATTAAAACTTCATTCGTAGCTGCAGCAGCTCCTTTCACATGAGCCTCGTCTTTCAGTCCTATATCAGTTTGTGTGTGTGTGTAGGCAAGCTGACACCACAATCTCAGTCATTATGGTGTGTTTGGGTTATGCCGGCGCACTCACGCCACATGAGGGTGAGGGTGTCTGCGAGCGATGCGGGGACGCACTGTGTTATCTCCCGCTGATGTCTGAGGGCGGGGGCTGCTGGTGAGAAGAGGACTGACAGGAAAAACGGTCGTTTGTTCCCGCACAGCTCAAAACTGCTGCATCTGCCCTTTAAAAAGGGAAACCCTGTTTCTGCTTCATGGAGCCGCACAGAAAGAGAAGTTTCAGCTGATTATTGTCAGTCCAGAACTTTTTTTGCTTATTGCTGACGTGATGGAAAAATAGTTTGGATTTCTGAAGCAGAACACATTAATCATTGTCCAATAGCTACTGTGCTGTTGCCCATTAAAAGGAAAATGATTAAAGCCTCTTGTTATCTTTGCCAAGCAGAGGAAATTAATTTCACAGTAGAGAATATCAGTAAAAAGATAATCTGAAAAATATGACTTTTTTTTCTTTTTTTTAAATGAAGCTGTGTCTTTTTCAACAAAGCAGACAAGAAGAAATAAATCGATCTTTTAATCACTCTTCTCTGGCGTCCCTGTTGGGAAAATACATAAGGCCTTCATCCAAAAACAGATAAACACAAAACTATCTCTCTGAATCCAAAATGAAATTAGAGAGGCAGAATGGTCAATTCTGGCTCTGGATTTTGCATCACAATCATTTATTTGCTGTTTTTTGTTGCTTATTTAAATAAAATCCACACTTTTGCAGTGTTATCATTAAAATTGGTTGTAAATAAAAAGATATAACATTGGTCGTTCATCATGTCTGTTTAAAAAAAAACAAGCATGGGTAAAAATGCAGAACATCCCTGCAGATGAGTCAAATATAAAACAGCTGAAAACTCAGGTAGCGGTTAACCTGAAACACGTTGCCCGCTCTGCACTCGGCCCAAAACAAGACGAATCATCCTTAAGGATGTCGATTAACCAATCAGCATCTTTCAGAAACATCCTGGTGTTCATGAGATCCTCTATAAAACTAATCAGCCATCAGAGTTCAGGATGAAAACAATAATAAAAGCAACCGTTCCTATTTTATAGTGCAAACACTAAAGAGGTCTTCCGAGGAAAGTGCAGGCTCACATCTCCTCAAAAATTCATAAACCATAAATAGTTCAGCAGAGTAGTCCAGTGATGTCAAGTGCCTTGAAAAACTGTCACACAACAATGACTTGTTCACATTTTGTCACATTACAACCAGACTTCAATGCATTTACAGGCCAAAAACTTTACAGTATGGGGGAAAAAATCCTCAAATATATAGCTGAAAAGTGTGGAGTGCATTTGTTTTCTTCTCTTTTATCCATCCACCTAAACTAAACTAAGAACAGTAATCAGATAAGCAGCATAAATAACTGGAGGGACTGGAGAGATTCACAACTCTGTCAACAGGACAACTATCATGCACTCCAAAAATCTGGACTTAATGGAAGACCAACAAGAAGAAAGTCATTGAGAGAAAGCCACAAGTAGTTCTATTTGAAGTAACAGCAAACCTATAGAAGAAGGTTGTCAAATAACATTGGACCAAAGTTAAACTTTCTGGCCTTCATACAAAGCTCAACGTGTGGACGAAAGCCAAGACTGTGACTCTCCTGGTACAAACCATCTTCACAGAGAAACATGGTTGTGGCAGCATCATGCTGTGGAGATGCTTTTCTGCAGCAGAGACAGGGACGCTGGTCAACACTGAAGGAAAACCTGTTGGAAGCTGTAAAATGCTGCAGGCCGTGGTGGAGGTTCACCTTCTGGCCAAATTGCAGCCAAAGCTACACTGAAAGGGTTTAGATTAAATTCATCTGTATGAGTGTTAGACTGGCCTAGTCAAAGTTCAGACCTAATTCCAATGCAATACAGAAGAAGGATGATCATTGATTTTAAGTCTCTTCGTGTGCAAAGGTGCCACACAACCTAAATCGACAAATATCTGTGGTAAAGATAAAAGCTTCAATAGAGTTCAGAGATTTCTTCCCCTTCACGCGTTAATCAATCATAGCATGGAATCTCAGCAAAACACACTGAATTTTATGTTTGTAACGTGACAAAACAGGTGAAAGTTGAAGGGGTTTGAGTAGATTTGCAAGGCACTGTATACCTGAACGTTTTGTAGCAACAACACATATGTGGCCAAAGGAAAATGTACCACATCCCCATCCTGACCCGCTAAGTCAGGATCTCATTCGAGTTCAAGCAGAAAGCTGGGAAAATGACCTCTACCACTTGCAAAACTAAAGCGAGTTCCTCAACGTTTTCAATCTGCAGGAGATGCTCCTACTTCTCCGGTCTGCCTTTATTCATTTTCACTTTCTCCTGAAAGTCACTATGTTTCTGCCGCAGGATTTCTGTCTGCTTCTTGAAACCGTTGACCCTGGAAGAGAGCAGGCCGGAGAATCAGCCTCCAGCGCCAGACACTCGATGCTCAGAAGGCAGTGCGCTCACCTGGCTCTCTCTTTGGCTTCGTTGTAGATTTCTGTGATGGCTCTATCTTTCTCGTCCATAAAACTATTGTGAACATCTTCCAGTTTCCTGAAAAAGTTGGAGAAACAACTGCTCACTGTTTGCTTGACCTGAGACCCCCCTGAGTTTATGAGTTTGTTCAGCTGTTATAACAGCTGCTCAGATTCACAAAGAAGTGAATCTCAGCAAACACAAGAGGCACAGAGTCATTGTGTGGAAACAAATACGAGGAAATGAGTGGCGAGGCTGTGCCAGAGCACACGGCATGCAGAAAAACACCCCACTTAACCGTGCAATAAAAAAAAGGTTTTTCAGATGATTTTTTAATAGAGAGGCTTGAATATTTCAGCATGAGGTACGGAGATAGTTACCTAAAGAAGACCGCATGCGCTCCGACGCTGAGTACCATCGTGATGACACAGTAAATTACCAGCCTGAAGTTCCTCTTACTCTTCTGCTTCCTCTCCTCTGCAGTCGCCTCTGGAGACTGGGCATGACGAAACTGCTCCCAGTAACGAACATTGTCGTCAGTAGTCGTGCTGGGAGAAGGAGAGAAGAGAAATAAATTGGTGATGATCAGAAGTGACACTAACAGACCGAATAGAGGCAATCAGAGGGGGTAACAGAGCTGAAATGCACATAAAGCTCAACAACTTTCCGTTTTCTCTACCGACAAAAATCACCTGTGAGGTTGATGTTTATTTTTTTTTAAATGTTAGAGCATAAAAAATGCTTTTTCTGTTGGCTTTAAAGCACTACATTTGTGCTAAAATCAATGCCATGGCTTATTAGGTCAGGCGTACTTTCTATATTTGCTCACAGAACTCAAGGGAGCCTACGAGAACTAAATACATCAAGTCTCAGTTCATCCTACGATGCAGTTACTCCACTTAATATCACTAGCGTTTAACAGAGGCCTTCTGATAATTATATATGTCCAATCGATAATTAACAGTGAATATGAGCTGATTTTGTTGAACATTAAACCCACCTGGAGAGTTTGTTGCTAACTCCTCACATCCCCAGTTAAAGATTCCGTAGCATTTAATGAACTCCACCTTTATGTTTGTGATGGTAGGAAAGAGAAGGCGTTTTAATGTTGGCACATACCTCAAGTAGGATCTAAAAGTTACTATGCCCAGAAGATGCCACTCTTTGCTGTGTTTTTCTAAAGAGCAACACATTTATCTGTTAAAGAGGAGCTTCGATGTTTCTGATGCAGCTAAAGTCCAACAGTCTCCCCATGACACAAAAAACATTTTTCAAGACGCCAACTGACTGTTAATGCTCTCCAGCGCGACACTCTGATGTACGTTGGAGACGTTTATCAACACACATCTGCCTAAATCTAATGACATGTTCTCTTGTCTTTCCTAGTTTGAGTAGTAAATATAAAGAACTCAGTGTTCTTTAAATATCAGTGTTATGTTTTATTTTTTCAATTAGGGAAACAGAGAATCACAGATTACTAATTAGAAGGTCCTGAAAACTCTGTTCAACTTTTAAAAATTAAGGTGGAAGCAATTTTTGAAAAAAATTCTTGTTGGATTCATTTTAAAGGGACTTTCCCTGAAAACTTTATAAATATACTCAGAATAAATGGTTTGATTTTTCTAAAGGTTTTCTATGTGAGATATAGCTACTGCAACAAAAGATTGGATTTTTTTTTTTAGACTTTTAAGCATCTTCACAAGTCAAATGCTGCAGCAGAGCACCGACCAATCCAGTGTGAGGCCCTACCTTCTGTACACTGTGTGACCAGATGTCGATCTGAAGGCCTGTCCCCCCTGGTATGGACGCTGGAGCCTAAAGTCATACTCCTTCCTGCTCAGCTCTTTGCTCAGCACTCTGTAGGCTTCGTTCAGCTCCACAAACTGGCTGTGCAGCTCCGGGTTTGACGGGTTGCTGTCTGGGTGCAGCTGTGGAACGCGTGAGCCAGAGTCAATGATGTGAGATACTCTGCTTGAGGGATGTTTTGCTTGCATTGGTATTCTTATAAATCCGACTGAGATTAATTTTACTTCTGGAGTGAGATGCCTCAATCCTAAATTATAGCAGAATCATGCCATAAAGCAAAATCTTTATCTTGATCACTCAGGAAACTTCTCCATAAAAACAGACAGGAAGCTCCATGTGAAAACAGTTAGCAAGCTTAGTTTATCTTAAAAAATGCCGCCCCCTTGTGGGAGGTTAAATGCAGAGTTTTATTAATGAAGTACCTTCTTTGATTTGTCAAAAAAAGCATTTTTTATTTCATCCACAGAAGCATCCGATTTGACTCCCAACAGGTCATAATAGCTTGCAGCTTTTCTGTAGGAATAAAGATAATAATGATTAAAAAAAACAAGCTGGTAGTTATACCTGAACAGATTACATAGAACACACACACAGAGTAGATACCGGTACACTTGCCTTTGTGCAGAGCTGAGAGATAGCATCCGCAGTCCACTTTTGTAGCACCAAATACAACTCTGACATAGTCGCAGCTGAACTCCCAGCTGCATGACGAAAAATATTCAACTTTGACCTGTAACAAGGACAGACATTATACCCAACTGCAATTTTAAATGAGCTTATTTCTTGTTTAATGAAGAGATAAACCTTTGAATACACAAGGCACCTATTATGACCTGGATCAAAGGCACAAATATAAGTTGTCTTGTTCTCCATATTTTGGTGCTTTAATAGATGAAAATCTTTCTTTGTAGCTAATATGATAAAGTAATGCTGAGAAAACTCAAAACCCCAGGATTCCACAGCTTGCAGAAGCAGCAATAATTCTTAATAGTTGTTTTCAGTAACACTGTCAATAATCACTTTGTTTTAGAGGAAGATTCAGTCTTTTAAGGTTTGTAGAAAATAATTTCAACACATTTCTCTCAAGGTTCAACACCAGCTCTCGAATCAAGATGAGGTCTGGATTTTTTTGTTCAGCCATTCTGCTGCATATACTTTTGCAACCCTACGCTGTGGAGCCATGTTGTTTTCAATGAGACGAGACATTTGCATTTATATTGAGGGTTTTTTGCACAGGATGGCCTTGGAATCATTTTGGTTGGATGTCCATTCCAGGAAAGATAGGAGTATGTCATTAATGCTTTCCACTTTTGAATAATTGTCATCACTGCAGAATTATGGATGTTAGATAGTTTTGAAACATGCTTATCATCCTTTCCAGATTGAATGGTGAATACATTGCTGATGCCTTTACACCTAGATGTTGTGAAAACACACACCTGTGTGCTTCCAACCAGCAATTTGTTTGACTAATTTCCAGTGTTTACCTTTCACTGTGTTTCCATTGAAGCTGTTGAGGTGAGCAGCTGGAACACATCTGTCAGCAGATGACTGAAAACAACAACAACACACACAAAAGGGTTGAGAACAATCACAAAACAGCCACAACTTGTCAGCCTTGCCACTGTATCAATAAGCGATTTCAGGAGTAACAAAGACAGTAACTGGACTGGTGTTTCCCCCTATAAATTATAAGAAATTATTCCAACTGTCAATCAAAATACAAACTGAATTGACAGGAAGAACACTTAGTTCTGCTGCAAATGCTAACCCCCGGTTTAGCGTTAAGTGTCTACCAACTCTGCTGTTGGATGGGAAAAAAATCAATCTTTGTTTCTATTATTCTGTTAGGTGTGAAATAGAATTATTAATCATTATATAAGCAAAGTTAAGAGGAGAAAAGGTGACATACCAGATGAGATCAGTTTCGTAACGCTCCAGTTTTCCAATAGATCAAGCTGCTAGCATCACAGGAACCGGAAACGAAGCTTAATTTCAAAATAAAGCAGACAGTTTACCAGCGACTGAAGTTTACACCGGAAATGGAACAAAAAGTAGAACAAAGATATTTGTAGTCACTAACGCAATTTTTTGTCACCAAAAGCAATTTATTAACAATGTAATAACCTATTTTTTTTTATAGTCAAACTGTTTATTTGTCTAAAATAATAAGTCCTGGCATTAGTATTAAATTTCTTAAAATGTTTCTCTAGGATTCTGAGATATATGTGAACATAGTTCATCTCTTTTGAAAGGAGGAAATAAATGATTTTAGAAAAATCAAAGAGGAACACAATGTGAATCTCTGTAACATTTGTTTTATTTTGTATGTTTATTTTGAAAATGACAATAAATATATCTGAGCAACTTGACGGAAAACAGAGCAACTAACTTTTCCACGATGAGCAATCCTTTATTACATTAAGTGGATACATAAATTTGATTTTGATCATAATATAATAGTGACATGCATTTCAGTTCTCATAAATAAGCGATTTGTCTCAGCAAAAATATACATCTTAATCATTCCATTACACAATCAACTGTAATTTTGCAGTTTGACCACGTGGTGGCGGTATTGAGTATATCTTTGACATCTGACGTAGTTTTGGGGAAAGGAGGAAGAAACGACCAGTGTTTTGAAAGGTGGTTCAGTCTGGAGAAGGGAAGCAGGAACAAAGCTGCCCAAGAAGGTATAACATGTTCTTAAAATAACTTTTTGGGTAAACTAGTTCATGTTTTGCATGCTAAATTAGTTAAATGACAATACTTCGTTTTATTGTTTCCAAGTTTTTCGTGCTACTTAGGATGATAATTCATTGAACTATTTGCTTAAATCCAGTGAAAGTGATATAAAACTCTAAAACACATTTTTAAACCTTCTATATCAAGTCACCATCAGCGTAAGATTGTTGTTGTGTTAAGTTTATTGGTTTGAAATATTAAAGAAGACGAATCTAACATTAAACCACGCCTCGCACCTTGCAGGTCAAAGAGTAACATGAAGTGTATCTGTGGGAGGGGTCACTGATTATACAGTCACCACCAAAAGCTGTTGGCAAACATTATCTTAACAGTTTCAGACTAATGTGATATAATCGCTAATCAAGAGATGCAGTTTTAAATGCTTTTATTTAAAACTGTAAACGTTGCAATATTGATACTTTTTGCTATATTTTGCTATAAGAATGTCATAACGTTCCAGTTTTAAGACTGGAGCGTTTCTAACTGTACATAACTGGAGCGTTTCTAACTGTACATAACTGGAGCGTTTCTAACTGTACATAACTGGAGCGTTTCTAACTGTACATAAGAGTACAGTTAGAAAACATTCATATTCGGGTCATATTTGCTAAGTGTGCAGTGATTCAAGATACAGTGACACAAACTATTGATTCGACAGGTATAGGAGTGACAGAGACAGGAAAAAGTCTCCTGAAGATGCAATATTGAATTAAACATAGATATTACGTTAGTCTCTGTTTTGTTTGTCCTTAGTGTTTCTATTTGCTTATGACAAGTGGACTAAGTCAGATGTTTTTCTCCCGCCTTTAAAATGATTTACACATAATTTTTTTTTCTTTAGGTCTAATGTCACCTGTTACCAGGATACAAAACATCATTGTCTTCATATGATGATCACGACCAGCTGAAGCGCCAGGTTGGGCTCAGAGAGAGTAGTGGACTCCAGTGATCATCCACAGTAAACATGATGGACCCTGAAGTGTCTCTTCTGCTGGACTGTGCACACTGGAGCGGGCTGCTGGAGCACCAAGTACAGGTGGAGCTTTCAGACAGGTACTCAAACCTTAACTGATTTGTAAACATAATGCTTTATTTTCTTATATTTTATATAAGAAAATTATTTTATAATGGGTCCTGGTCAGATGTTTTTAGACCAGTGAGAATTTTTTATTATTTAAATTGTTAGTATTGTTTTTAAAGTAACAGTAATTTAATTAATTTGAAAAACACTTTATTGATTCCAAAAGTAAATTAAATGTTGTTGTAACACCTATTATGAGAAGTTCATACAGAAAAATATTTTGTCTCTTAGATGAAAGTATTTTTTTTTTATAAATAAAATAGGTTTAATTTTTTCCGTCCAATTTTAAGCTTATTTTTCTCCATAAAGGTAGATTAATTTTTTTATGTGATTTATTTTACTTTGGCAAATGTGTTTTTTTCATTCCAAAGTATCTCCCAAGTATCTTTTTACCTATAAGAGTAGGATTTTTTCATAAAACTTGTTTCATTTTATTTAATAAACAATTTGTGTTTTTATATAAGATTAGTTTTTCTTAATTCTTTAAAAAAACGTTAAAAACATTTTTTATTTAATTTAAAACATATTATGTATTAAGGTTTCATCTATAAAAGCTATCTTTTTGTTAAAGAATTTACTATTATTGTTTATTTATTTATTTTTTGTTCAACGTTTGTTTAAGCAAGAAATCACCATTGAAATTAAGACTCTCTTTTACAAAGGAGGCCGGGCAAAATTTTGTTAGTTTAGCTTAAAAACAACAATAACAAGAACAACAACAACAAAAACAGCACACGAACCAGTGTTGATACATAAAAGAAAACTTTAACTTGGATCTTTAGACATTGTGTTCCCACCAGCCTGTTACTATGTCAAAGTATATTTCATTAATGAACCTATGAAAACCAAAAGCCTCTGATAACTTTTAAAGAACTGTTTAAAAACTCTTTGAGAGATTAAAGTAAACTCTGGATTATTCTTCCCTCAGATTCAACAGGCAGACAGATCCTCTTCTTGAGCAGCACATAAACCGGGTTTGGACCGAACGGCTTTCCAAGGAGCCGTGGCTTTTTAACGGAGCCAAATTCAGGCTGCATTCCTTCTGCTTGGCCTCTCCAGAGAAACTCGGCTGCTTTCAGTCTGACTGTGGAGAGCAGCAGGGCGGTGAAACAGGTCAGGACAGAGGGGACGTTAACGTTATTAACGGTTGTATACGTCAAACAGAAGATGGTGGAGGAGTCAGTCAGGTGATATCACAGCCAAAACATCACCCTGGTTCTGTTCTCACGCTGAGGCTGGGCCTCACCTGCTACAAGGACTACCTGGGAACAAACTGGTCTGGTGAAGTGGCAGAGCTCCGCCGCCGTGGGCAGGAGGAGTTTGGCGACCCTCTGGCCCTGCTGGCGCAGCCCCTGGGCGTTGGCGCCGTGTTGTGCACATGTGATGGTCAGGTGGTGTTCATCAGGAGGAGCCAGAAGGTGGCCGAGGCTGGAGGGCTGCTGGACATTCCCGGCGGCCACCCGGAGCCAAAGGTGACATTTAAAGAATAACAACGTTTAATTTAAACCGTCTGTGGTCGGTCTTCATGTGTTTGCTGTTGTCTTCAGGCAGTGTGTGAGCGTCTGGGCGAGGCGGCGGGTGAAGAGCAGATCAGTCTGGTCATGATGCAGCAGAGGCCGGACGCCGTCGTCTCGGAGCTGTTCTCCTCCATCTGCGCTGAAATCAGGGACGAGGTCACTGTTGCTTCATGTTTAAAACACTTCCATTTTAAATCAGTTTATCTTAATGTGACGGTGGCTTTTCACTGTCCTTTTCTCAGTTCAGTTCAAATGTAGGTTATACCATGTTCCAAATTATTATGAATAGTAGGTTGATGCACCGCCAGCCTCTGAAGGATCCTGCACCTTGAGGTTCCAGAGGCACCAGCAGCTTGAAATAACTGTTTGCTGCTTTGTAAGGGCATTTTAACAGCTGTTCTCTTACGCTGATGCATTTGTCTAACAGAAACCTTCCTCATTATGCCTTTATCTGTACAAACCCATCTTTGTTCTGAATCAGCCACAAATCTCTTCACAGTACGATAACGCTGCAGTTCACATTAAATAAATGTTTTCATATCTTGTCATATGGCACTACATGATCTGATGATTTTTGTCAGCAGAGATCCTTTCTCTTTCCCATACTGCTTGAAACCTGTGGCCTGCTTAATAATGTGGAACATCCTTCTTAAGTAGATTTCCTTTAATTGAGCTTACTAGACAAACTAATCAATCCAGCTCTCTGAAATTAATTATAGTGATTCAAAGAGCCCTGACACACAATACCATCTATAAATTTATTAGCGCAACAAAAAAATTAATCTCTTAAATCAATTTGCATAGTAATTTGGAACACGATGTATTAATTCAGAAGGGAGATCAGATTAAGACAATGTTTCTTAATTGAACCCGACCTGTTCTGTCTGCAGGTAAATATTCCTTTGAGCAGCCTCGGTGCTCCTGTCATGATGGGCATCGCTCTCAACCACACCAGCGCCGGACGCCCGAGCTCAGAGTTTTACATCAGGTATTATTATCCTTTCTTTATCCAGATAAAAAACTTCTTAAGGTCTTAAAGTTACAATCGAATTATAATCAAACAGAGCAGCAGAAATAACATGAACTGAAAAAGGGAAACTTTTCTCTTGTTCCATTATTGAGGCTGTTACATAATTGAACAAGCTATTCTGAGTGCAATACACATACCGACATACTCAATAAATTAGAATATGTGCTCTGTTGAGGTTCATTTATCTGATTAAAAGTACCTTTTGAAAGAAAAATAATTTAATAAAGTATTAAACATACTTTTCATAACTTTTTTGTATAAAACATGCTTTTTTTATTGATGTGACAATATTGTAATTTTAAATGTTAGGCTTTTACTAGCTGTAAGCAAAAAAAAACATAATTAATTGAAATAAAGTTTTGAAAACATCAATCTGTGTGATAGATTGATATAATTTTTCATTTAGCTGTGGAGTTCCTGAAATATACTTTTCAAAAATATTCTTATTTATTGGATTTCAGTGTATAATCCCTGGTTTCCTTACATCACTGGAGTTAGACCATTAACCACTTCTTGGAAGCAATAGATAAATCATCAATGGCTATGTACTGTTTTTTTTGTCTGTTACATAAGTTTTATAGTCTGTATTTCAGGATGCCTGGATTGCATATTTTTTCCTTTTTATTCTTGTTAAAATTAGACAAATTTCCCCCAAATCCTGGTTTCAAACACCCTCCATGTAAAGAAACGTCTTATTTAATACCCAAGAATCTAGTCTGGAGAAATAAATCACTTTTCATTAAAATTGTTTAAATCATTACAATATTTCTGACTCAAAATGAGCCACATCATTTCTGATTATCACAATGTTACTTAATCTAGATTTTGAAGTGCCATAAATTGTACATGAATGTTTTTTATTCAACATTTGGTTTTGCTTTGTCTTAAACAGCTTTAAGTCTAAAAAATAGAAAAACGTTAAGAAACTTCACAGAGCTGGAGAAGTTACTCATTTTTGACAGTCTTACAGCTGTAGAAATGTAAACAAACCCAGCTAGGATTTTTTTTTGCAGCAAGTTTAAGAGGAGGTGTTTTCTGTGATGTGAGATATCACCTGATGTCTGAAACATTTTGTAACTGAAAATCACGTGTCTGCATCCTCAGCTGCTCTCTGTCTTCTGATGAAGTCAGGACATTGTACTGGAAAGGAGGAGCAGAGGCCAACGAGTCCACAGACGTCGTCTTCCTCAGCACAACGGTCAGTTCAGCTCTGAAGTCGGAGGCGTGATTTCCAGCTTCACCATCAGATGCAGATTACAGAAGTTGTTTCTGTTGTGTGTTTTTTGCGTCGCAGGAGGTGATGCAGCTGAACAGAAGCAGCCCTCTGTGGTCGGAGATGTGTCCCTCCGCCAAAGGAGCCATGCTGCTTTATCAGATGGTGAAACCAGGAGAGCCAAGCAAACCAAACCGAGAGGAAAGATGAGCACAAAGTTACCAGTTAAATTTATTCACTTCAAGCACTCAGAGACTAGCAGTGATGTCAAAACTCTGTACTTTGTAAAATAACATGGTTAAAATATTTTCAATAAAAATCTTTTACAAAGTTTTTGACTTTGAAAACTAACCCCAGCCATCATTGATTGTACAAAACAGCGTGCATTAGTTATCACAATGCACCGTGTAAAAGTTTTAAACTATCCCTCATTTCTTTCGACTTTGCCTCCAATGAGCCATTTTTTCTTGTAACCTTTTAAGGTGGTCTGGATCAAGTTTTCTTTTGCCTCTGGCTGCTTTTTGACACAGTCCCTCTGTCTGACCATGACAACTTAGAAATTGAACTGGAAAAATGGAGGACAATTTTTTTAGAAGTGTCAAGCTAAAAAAAAAAAAAGCTACAAAATCAAAACAGATGATCTTAAAAAGGATGGAAAGAAAGCTAGCAAAGACAGGCATGCTGTGGTGGCGTAGGGCGACCCATGTTTGGAGGTCTGGAGTCGTCGACGCAGGTTCGATTCCCGGACCTGACAATATTTGCTGCATGTCTTCCCCCCCTTTCCTGTCAGCCTACTTTCATATAAGGGATACTAGAGCCCACAAAAGCCCTATTTAAGCTATTCAAGATGACAGAAATGTAACAATAGAAGAGGACCAAAATTGGCCTTCATTCTAGGTCAGCACCTTTCAGATGAGAGTGAAGTGTCAAAAACAAATGCTTAAGAGGTTACAAGAAAGTGTGTTTCTGTCTAATTTCAAATGAGGGACCTCATGACTTCTGTACGGCACTGTTGGCATTTGTTCTTCGGAGTGATCGTCATAAAAAACATCCCAGTCCACTGTGACAGTGGCCTTGTTCTTCTTGTTTCATGTTTCCTCAGGAGTAACTCGGGTAGCCGCTGAAACTTCTGCTGTAGTTGTAGTTCTGCTGCTGATAAGGCAGGTTCCACTAAAATGACCAGAAAAAGAAAGAACAATGATTATTAATCAACCCAGAGCAACAACATACACACATCTATTGAATACAACATTAAATCTATTAAATAGTTAATAAAAAATCTTCATGGAAATAGTCTAATTTGGTATTGGTTTGGTTTATAACATTAAATTAAAAAAATACATTAAATTAGATTATTTGTTGCAACAGAAAGAGATTTAGACTATATTAAGCTGAAAAAATAACTAACAAAAATCCCTCACATGTCTGGTCTCTGGCTGCTGACTCCAAGGCTGGATGTCACTTCTTGTGTTGTACCAACCTCCAAAGACAAAGGCAATATTAACCAGCAGTTTGCACCACTACTTCTAACTAAAAAATAATATTCATTGTGTCTCATGCCAACCATGAACTGCTCCCCACTGCATCCTGTTTGATGGTGGAGGACTGAGAAAGTGACGTCTTCTCTTGTTCCATCGGGGTTTCTTGTCTGGTTTGATGACAGGAGGCAGCAGTCTGTGAGCCTCCTCTTTGTACTGCATTAGGAGGATTTGTGCCTGTTCCTGTGGCAGCTCTGCGTACTGTAACTCCTCCATCAGGTCAGGCTGCGGTTCTGGAAGACTGCAGCTCACTGAAGCCAAGAAAACAAACAGAACATCAATGCTGTGTCTGAAAAGGAACAAAAAGATCACATAAAGACAATAAATACCCATCCCTGTGTGTTAGTGAAGTTGAAACATTTTTTCCCAAAAAGAAGCAAAAAAGTCAAACCTTGGAGTTTGAGTAAGGCGGTCTCAGGGATGTGCTCGCCGTCGCTTATTTGACGACGCAACAGTCGTCTTTTCCACTCGCCGGCAGACGGGAAGATCACAATCACCACCCGCCTGAAGCCTGCAAACAACTGCAGCTTGTGTCGACGTGCAGAGAAGAGGACGTTGCACTGGGAAAACACGAAAAAAAGTTGCGTTAAATTCTCTATTCACACAAACAGCAAGCTTTTATTTTAATTGGTAATTTTTTTCGGGTGAAGCTCTCAGTTACCTGGTCGAGGATGTAGTTTCCAGGCGTCTTGGCAGCGACTTTAATTAGATCAGTTAGACACTGGGAGGCCTGCTGCAGCCTGCTGTCTCTCTGACCACCACTCTGCACAAACACACACAGGTTATGACGACTCGCTGCTCAGAAGTGGATCGAGCGCTAAAAGAATTGCTAAAATGAATACTGACAAGCATACACGCGAGCAGGTCTTCTGTCCCAAGCAGTCTGTACTTCTTCTCTGGATGCTGCTTCATCAGCGTGTGAGCCCAGAAACTCTTCCCAGAGCCGGGAAGACCCACCATCATCACCACCTGCAGGATTAGACAAATGAAACCTGCAGCCTGATAGATTGAGTACATATTGAGTGCATATTTTTGCACATTGAAGCACAAATATTAGATTCTTTAAACCTGAATAGCAAGGTCCAAAACCTAACCTCAGACTGCATTTTGGATGTAGGAGCTGATGCGACGCACACCCTCTGACCAGCAGGGAGCGACGTCAGCGGTGTAAATCCCATCGGTCCAGGGTACCACTGAGGGGTTATGCGGTCCAGAAGGAATCGAACTGAACAGTTCTTAAGGAGAACATGAGGAACCAAGACTCGGCCTTGCAATAGAGAGGCACTCAGGGTGAAAGCCGCACCCAGGAAGTGACCATTTTTATGGAAAAACAGCTCAACAGCGCCATTTGCAGAGAAGGCCTATGGTTGTAGAAGCACAAACAATAAAAAAATTAGAACAACATCACTCTATCTAAAGAACATAAGGAAAGGCAACTCACAGCATAACAGCCAATGATGTCCCCCTCAGACAGAGGCTCACCGTACTCCTCTTGGGTTCCATCAGAAACCTTTTTACCGCGTCCATCATAAGCAAAAGAAAGCTTGTCCTCCCCTGAAATGAAACACATCGAGTTTCAGTTAAAGCTGTCAATAAACACAATAAACATGTTCAGAATAGAGCGATCTAATCCTCACCGAGCAGCAGAGAGGAATCGGACACAGACCAGCCCACTCTCAGTCTGTATGGATCCTTGACCTCTTGGTCAGAAGTCAGCAACTTCCTCTCCAGCCGAACCTCAAACCCCACCCGTCCCTGCCGCACCCCGTGGGTGAGCCTGCAGCCGGACCAGAGCAACGGGAACCGATCCCAGAACCGTGGCTGCCCACAGGATTCATCAGAGCTCACTTCAAAATGGAGGTGACAGCCATCTGTGGAAAGAATCAAAGTATCAGTGACGTTTCTAAAAGCTTTCCAGAAAAGGAAACTCACTTCCGAACTCTGTACTCACATGGATCTAATCTAACTTTATCTTCATCCCACTCTTCCTCATCTTTGTCCTGTTGAAGCTGTGGTGATTTGGATCTGGAAAGACAGCTACTCAATTAAAAACACTTTCTGTGAAGCGAAACCGAGTGAAATCTGATGAGTGAACTTTCCTGTTAAATGTTCAGGAGTGGCTAGAGCCTCACTTGTCCCTCATACAATCTCTTCTAAGCATTATAAATGGTAAAATTAGACGAATATGGACGGTGAGAAAAAATGAAATCAAGCAAACAATTGTAATTCTATTTCAATCATCCTATGACTTCTACAACTCAAAACAGAAACATGTAAAACTATATAAAAAATATATTTTAAAAAGTGGTTCTGTGAGTGTGTACACCCTTAAACTAAGATATTGAAAAAATATTTCCTGGCATCTGGACCAATTTTAAAATTTGAAAAAGGATTTCTCAAATCTGGACAGAATTATACTTTATGCAGCTTCTTTCAAGCAGTTTTAATGGGCAATTTTCAAATTAATGTTCATTTGTGTTTTCTTTTGCCAACTCAAAATAAAAAATGATGGAGTTTGACAAAAACCCAAGTTGTGATGAAGCAAATCAATGATAAAAGGTAACCTTCAAATATGAATCGATGAAGAATAACTTTCTAATTCATGAGAAATATTGGTTTCCATTTCTCAACAATTAAAAATAAGGAATGGAGTTTAGACACTCAAGCAGTTCTTTTCCAGAGTGTGAATTAATTCTTGTTAGTCATAAACACTTTAAATGTCACATTTACATGTTTGAATCTGGTGGTTTAAATTCAACACATGCACCAGAAAGATGCTATAGATCGATTTGAAAATAGAACAAGTTCTGGATTTATTTATTTAAATCCCCAAAACAGAGACTTATTAAATTTATCTCGTTTAGCTTTGTAGATTTTAATGTGCACTGAATTAAGGATTTACCTTTTGTATCGTATCTCCTCCTTGAACTCGTAGAAAGCTCTTCCTCTGCCCATTTCCTCACAGACAGAACCATCTGAATGTCCCAGCTGCCTCCCATCCGCCTGGCAGACAGTCTCGGCCCCTGAAAGGCGCTCGGAACCCGGTGGAACCGCTGGTGGACCGGGTTCTGGCTCAGTCTGAGTAGCAGTGTCTGTGTACTGTCTACCCCGATCTACTTCACACGGCGCAGGGACACAGTCGGCCACCGGCGGTGATGAGGACTCGGTCCGAACCTGAACCGCACCTGGTTCTGGTCCAGACAGTGTGGACGGGCTGCCCTCCAGCAGTTCTACGTGTTCTGGACTCTGTACTGACTGCGAGGCTGACCATAGTCTGTCCACCAGGTCAGCCTTCAGACCTCTACTGTCCAAACCCAGTTCGGTTAGTCTGGACCGCAGTTCGGTCACTTTTAACTTCTTAATGTCCACCAGCTTCATTCTTGGATGTGGGCTTTAAAAAAAAAAAATTTAAAAAAAGACTCAACAGAACGATAAAAACAGGAGTCTTGATTCAAAACATTGCTCTTCTTCGCCTTCTTTTTGGAGTCAATTGGCGGGCGGTTGCCCTTCTTCAAGTTGCATTACCGCCCCCTAGGGCTAAGAAGATGTAACGTTTAGGCTCATCAGTCAGTTTTTGAACAAATTTACTCGTCTTAAGAAAAACAAAAACACTGACCTAAGGTCTGTCATTGTTGGCAACAGGTAAATTACCAGCACTGGCACTTAAATATTTATGCACCTCCTAATTCAGTGGTTCTTCATACACGTTTCTTATTTTAATCATAGCCAAAACACAAGGATTGACATTTATTCTAATATCAAAAAACAAGCAAACTCCATTTTCATGCTGATCATTTTATTTTGTTGTATTTAACAAATACCTCATTGTCTGTTATTAAAACTGGCCCATGGGGCAAAAAAGGTTGTGGGCACAAAACAAAGACCTGAAAGAGTTTAAATGTTTTGGAGTCTAAAATATGAAGGATTCTTCACTTTTTCATAGACTGATTTCATTACTCTACTGATGTAGATTAATGTAGTGTAGCCATCAATTCAGTAAAAACAGACCACCATTTTGTTGCTGGACATCCTTCAGCGTCAACATACAAAAGGAAACTACAACATAAGAGCAAGAATTTTATTTAAATAAAAGGACAAATGCAAAACCATGATGAATGAGAACAGACAGAACTACAGTCAATTCCAATACAAAAACCATTTTATAAATAGCTTCATACGGCAACACCAGCTGATCTCTCTTTACTTCAGACTTCCAGCTCCACTGTTTGTGTTTCATTACAGCTGCTCTGGTCATCCACAAAAAGCAATTTAAACAGAAAACCTCAGAAAAGCCTGCAACTTTTTTTCTTTTCATCGTCATTCTCTGTATCAAAACTACCACGGATCAGCAAAGCAGATCGGAGGAGATCCAGAGAGCAGCTCCGTCCACACAAACAGCACCATCATAAAAGTCGTCACAGGAGCAGAGAGGCTCAGTGGTGCGCACACAATGGAACATTCAGGTCAGGCTCACACAGTGAGCCCTTTTCCAGGAACCTCTTGCTCACAATAAAACCATCCCAGTGCTTCATTTGAATAAAACAGAAGCTTTTTTTCATCCCTGATGAGGACACAACTGTGCAAAATGTTGGACTCCAGGAAAAATGTAAACAACCATGCTTTTTAAATAACCAAAAATTCCCATCATGATGCATTATCAGTAACATAAATAAATAAAACAAAGCACAGTAAATGTTCTGAATAACACCGATTAGATCACTGGCCTATTAAAGCATTTCTGATTAAAGAAGTCGAATCCTTTCAATTTGAGAAAAAGTCTTTTTTAGGACTGAAACCTGAAAAATTTTATTTATTTTATTAGTTGTTTCCATCAAATTTATCTCACAGCATTTTAATGTTAGACTAGAATTCCCTTCTGTTTTTGCAGTCTTTGAGCTCGTCTCCTCTACACAGCGAGTCAAAACTATACACACACCCCAGTTAAAATGCCAGGTGACTTGTCTCTTACTAAGCAGTTTTGCACAAATTTATTAGAAGAGCAAAAATATCATGCAAAGGCCTCATCAGTCAGGTGAAATGTGAAAAACGATCCACAGCACTATATAAATATATATACATTTTCACAGTAAAAACAGATAGAAACTGTTGAAGAACATAAGGGACACAGTAACGTCACAAAAACTGGTGCCGAGAGAATGACAGCAACATTGAAGGAGCTGCAGGAATCTATCAAGCATTTGTTGTGCTCTTTATGTGACAACAATGTTCTGTTTTGCACTAAAGTGTAGGGCTGCAAGACTGAAGCCTTGTATTTCAAATAAAACATACAAGAAATGACAAAAATATCCCTAAACCTTGTGAAGAAACGAGTTAATAAAAACTATTGAACTTTAGACCACAGTTAAAAAAAATAAAACATTGTGAAGCATTGTTATCAAGATGGAACTAGACTTTTTGTCCAATCATAAACTGTTTCAAACATCAATTAACTTTTTACCAAAACCCTTCCAGAGTCTGCTAGAAAGTTGAATGTGAACAGGGTTTTTATTTTTCAAGTCAAGACAACTTCATAAAAGCAAGATTAATGGTTTGGACTAACCTAGCCAAAGTAAAGATCTGACATATAAATCAAAGGGGGTTGTGAGCAACAAATTTCCTCAAATTCTAATATATTTGGAGAAGTTTTACCAGGTTGAGCAGGTAGATAACATAAAGTGAGGTGCTTTTTTTCCAGTTAAATTTTTACAAATGATTGTTTTTCAAAGACAGTTTGTAAATTATTTATCATAGCCTTTTTACACCTCACAAAAACCTGGGTTTTTAAATCAAGGGTGCTGCTGATGTTTGAGGACCACCATATATAAAAAATATGTTCTAATTAGGTAATTTACCCAATTTATCAGAAAGACTGCAAATCATTGGTTTTATAGCCAGTTAGGTTACCAGGTTAAAAAAAAACAACATGTGGCTGAACATAGATTTTCTGAAATAAACTACGTCTTACTCCAAATCACATTTTGATCCATCTTGGTAAGACTGTCACACAAATAATGTTTTTTTTTTTTTATTAAAACGCAAATCTTAAGTAAAGCTGGCAGAAAATCACCAGAAGTTTTAATGAGTAAAATGGTCCAAATATGTTTTCAAATTTTCAATTTAAGCATTTAGCTTTTCCTTTTAAGCCACAGTTCCCTTTAAACTAGATAATTCCTATGCTTTATTGTACATTTCATAATCTTGTTTAGATGGATCTCTCAGAAAAATAAAGGTAATAATGACAAACTGTATCTTTGGCATTTCCCTACTGCAGTTTCTTGATGCTTCGTCATAGATAATATAATTTAAAAAGTCAGGCTCTGCTGAATAAGATGAGGCATGTAAACAGTAAGACGTGCAAAGTGGACATTATGAGCGGTCAAAATGAACAAAATGAAGTTTAAAACTGTGACATCAAATGTGAGGAGCTGCGTCACTACCTCACTTCCTCCCTGTCAGACGCAGACGGTTGGGGTCGCAGGGGGAAGAGGAGGCGTCGGGGAGCTGCTGTCGAGGGGAGTGCATCCCAGCAGCAGCTCCTTGTCTCGGTGTAGCCAAGGCCCAGTGATGTTCTGCCTGTGGGAGTGGAAGAGCCGTAGGAAGGCCAGGATGGACTGAACCAGCCACAGGGCCGTCACAAACCACAGAGACGCCTGAAGTTGCAAACAAAGAATTACAGTGACGACTACTGGCCAAAGACATCTGAAAGTTTGGATTCACGTACTCTGCTTAAAATATTATATTGTGTGTATTATGTAGAGTTGTTTTGGTATTTCAACCATATGTGATACACCAGAGGCTTGCAGCCTACGGCTCTGAAGCCACAAGTGGCTCTTCGAACATTTCACAATGGCTCTTAACTTTGGCTAAAAATGAAAAAGAACCAGCTAATATTTTTAAATGTGAAGATAACAAAACAGATTTGCTATCTGTTTTGCAAATATGTTTATTCCTACAGTATTTGAATTGAATTGCCATCTAGGTGTATTTTTATTTTTCACACAAGTTTCCATCCCACAAAAAATAATATCCATCTTTTGGCTAATTTGTATCTTCATCTTTATTTTAATTTCTAAAAATAGAAATAAAATGGAATAGAAATAAATAAAAATAAAGTTTTTTTTTTTTTTAAGGTTGAGGGACATTTGAAGCTCTTTAGTTTCATTTGGCTGCCCTGAAAGTTAAAATGACTTTTTAAGGTTGCAAATTCCTATGCTACACCAACACACAGCAGTGAATAATTGAGTTGGGAGAAAAATGTTTCAGAGACATCCAGCTGTTTAATCTGGCAATACTTAGAAAAAGTAGGTCAAAACATTAGTTTTCCAGACCAAACAGATTTTAGTCTATTTATATTTGAGATCATCTGATCCTATGCTCAGGATCACTGTCTTCCTTTCCACTGAATCAATGAAACATCTAGATTTTTGTCTTCTATGATGACATTACAGATACTTGTCCCATTTTCTCATAGTTGCCAATCATGTGTTGCATTTATTGCTCCTCAATAGAGTCATGAAAGATTCTATCATGTTAAGCATCTTTGGTGTGTTTCAGTTTGAGCACTTACCTGAGCCAGACTGAGATCTGTGAAGAAAGTAGACGTGTCAACATCCAGGTAAAGAGGGACAGACTGGGACTCTGCACAACTGAACACAAATAGGCATTAAAGACAAGCCAAGTTATTACCGATGCTCAGAATTGTGAACACAGACCATAAAAAGTTATTTTACCCATCTGCTGTAACATTTATTACCGAGACAACTTTATCGTTTGATGTTACCTATAGGGACGCGTGTTGTCATCGGTGACCGTGTCGCACCAAGAGCTGAATCCCAGAGACAAAATGACGCTGGCCCCCGCAGATAGGAAGAGCACACAGACGCTGAGCAAGACCGTGAGGAAGGATGAGAACAGGGTACTGGGAGGAGACACACACATGGGAAATCATCAATGTAAACAGTGTTTATTGCATAAAGATAAAATGTATTATTTATGAGACAAACCAGTATTGGATTAGTTTGAGCCTGTATTTAGTTTTGCAATACTTCATTTTCCATGTTTAGACCACTTTTTACATTAAAAATTAAATATAAAGCTTACAACAAATGAAATTGTTTAACAGTAAAACATAAAATAAAATGTGCAATTATTTAAACTTGTAGATAGTTTAATACATAATTTAAAGTAGAAATCATTTAAAATGTAAATTTATATACAAAAATCTCACATAATTGTGTTTACTTTGCCATCCTTGTGGTACAAACCAGAGTAAAATAAACAGAAATATATATCTACATTTGGTAATGCATTTATAATTGACCACAAATACATTTATTTTAATTTCTTGATTCATTTAAATAACCTAGAGATCTGTTTGTGATTAATTCACTACTTCATTAACCAACATACTTGCCTCTCTAAAAAGAAATGTCTGAGTAAAAGTGGCATTAAATTATTTAACACAGGATTCAAGCGCAACAACCTTAGAATAAATACCAATTCATTCTGAAGTTGTTTTATGTAAACTGGAGAACCAATTGACATATTTGAATATGGACACATTTATTTCCACTTCTTTTTAATCACACTTGTATCTCTATATGACAAGTATTTAGTGAATTGTAACACTGTTATTTTATAATCTCAATTTAATAAGTAGTATAAATAGCAGAAGACATTTTGTAATAACACAAAACAAGCTTAAAGCTGCACTGAAAAAGATGAATAATGTTTCTAGCACTAATCTCGAGGTTAAAAATCAATATTGCATGAGTTTAGGTGAAGACTTAATTTTTCATCTAAAATAAGTGATTTCATATTCCTGATATATTTTATGAACACTTGACTATGTAAATACTATTGATTATCAGAAAAAAAATACAGTAGTACAGTTTAGAATTTTTTTTAATTAAATTTAACTTTTTTTAATTAACGAAAAATATCTTGCCATTAATTGTTTACAGTATAAATACAAATGTTTTGCTATTTTAATCATATAACTGCATATTGTTATAATGTGCCAATCAGAGGCATATTGTACTTTTGTTTATTTTGGACTGAAAATAAACACTTAAAATTTGCGCATCTAACTGAAACCCTGCTATAATAACAAACCCCGTGTTTGTGCGTGTCCGTGGACTCACTCGTCATGCCGTCCGTGCAGATAGAAGAGGCACCTCCAGCCCTGCGCAGCCCCGTAAAGCGTCGTAAAAATACCCACAAATGTGGCGAGCTGGCAGGCTTCCAGCGGGCCCCACCGCTGCACCACCAGGTGAGACATCTCCCCGGGCTGTTCCGTAAACTCTGCCCGGTCTTCTTTTCTCCAGTAGCCGGTGGAGAAGAGGGCGCAGCGGCCTTTGAAAGCCGAGCCGTTAAGAGCCATCGGGACCACCACCAGCAGTCCCGCCGCCACCGAGAGGGCGTGAGCGGCGCAGTGGATCAGCAGCAGCCGGCGGTCGAGCTCCATACCGGATGTCAAAAACACAAGTCAAAAGAAAATGGGCGTTTTTAGTGGGATAAAAGGAAAAGTCTTCTGTCAGCACATCCCGCAAGTAAAGCACTTTCTAGAGAGGAGAGGGTGGGTATTTATAGAAGTGGGGCGGGGCAGATGCTACGCAGGCCTTCACGTACCGTCAAAGAGGAAGAGGAACTACAGAGGGCTCACTCCGACTCATATTCTAGAGTCCAGATGAAAAACAGTACCAGAACATTCGATGTTATAGCATATTGCAGCAGGGAATGATAAAAAATATGATAAAGAATTCTATGCATTTTACTGGGAACAAATATGATTAACTGATAATTTATTCAGCAATTAAAAATATCGAGTGAGATTTTTATATGGGATATGTCATGTACAATTACATTGACAACGGTCATACAGCTGCAATTTCTTTTCTTTTTTTAACTTTGTATTTCATTACTTCTGTTGATGTCGCCATTCAATTATGAATTGTTAAAGTTATGTGGCTGCATAAAATAAAGGAATACACGAAGCAGTACATACCTGAACAAGAACCAAATCTGACAGATTTCTGAAGCAATATATACTGAAAGGTGAAAAACATTGTTTGCTTCCAATTACAAGTCAATAAAGAAATACATGTACAAAAAAAATTAAGTGTGTTTAAGGTATTCATTCGTTAGTTTTTAAAGAAAAAAAAGGATGTTGATTCATCCACTATCTTACATGCTTATCTCTAATGGGGCCACGAAAGGTGCTGGGGTCCATCTCCAGCACTCAGCGGGTGAGAAGCGGGGCACACCCAGACAGGATGCCAGTCCATCGCAGGACAAACAGTTATGCACGCACACACCTGTGGAGGAATTTGATAGACCAATCACCCTGACAGTCATGTTTTTGGAGTGTGAGGGAAAGGCGGAGTATCCATGCACCGGGAGGACATGCAAACTCCATGCAGAGTTTGCATGTTTCAGGATTCAAACCCAGGACCTTCTTGCTGCATGACAACAGTGCTACAAACTGCGTCACAATGTAGCCCCAATACTCAAGTTATTTCTAATGTGTAATTGCAGAAATATTTGATAAAATTGTTTTCATTTATAACCACATATGTTGGCGGAGTGGTACATCTTCGTACACAAACAATCTTCAGAGGTAAAACGTCTTCTATGACAAAGCTTCCTACGTCATGTTGGATATCTGCAGATGACCTACTTCAGTGGAGAAATGTGTGTCAAATATCTGCAGGCAGGCATTACATGTGTTGTGTCGAAAAAAACTCTAAAATTAATAAAGAAATTGGCTATAATTAGAATCCTCAGAAAGCCAATATAAAACGATGTTAGAGAGCAGCATTTTAAGATTGTTTTTGAAAAGAAACTGGCAGGTCCAGGTGGACTTCCAGACCCAAGAATAAATGTGGAATTCACATTTACTCTGGCAAACATTGAAATACCTCTCTGAAACTCATAAACAGTTAGCAAAAGCCATAACGATACCACATCATTAGGAAGAACCAGAATGGACCACCAACCCATTACAAGGCAACACAGAACAACCAACTATGTGGACACATACTTGCATTTAAGGGGAGAAAAAAACCCCAATAAAAACAACATTTAACAGAAATTATCTTAGAGTATGAGAAGTCAGAGTACCAAAAGAGAACCCACACATGCACCTGAAGACTTTATGTATTAGAATTCAATCCAGGACATTCTTGCTCATGGCAGAGCTATTATCTGCACAGACCAAATTCAACTAAACAGAAGCATGCATTATCTTGAGCAATAGGTTGTCCAAATTTATATTTAAATCCAGATGATTTGAAACCATTTTAAATGATCTGTCTCCTTTTTCTAAACGGCACAGTGATCGCTCCATGGGCTTGCCCATGGAGCACACAGAAGATGAGACTGTTGATAATGGGGGTGTGAAAGGCAGCCACAATTGTAGTCTGATGAGAGGAAAGGTTTCACTAAATCAAAGCAGCCTTATGAATAAAACTAGGGCTAATTGATAATGCTCAGCCTCAAAGATGGTCCACCAGACCAGCTTAGGCTAATCTCCTCCAGTCCTAAACATTTGCCGAAACCCGGGATTGAACCAGGGACCTTCAGATCTTCAGTCTGACGCTCTCCCAGCTGAGCTATTTCGGCGATGTCTCCTGTTCCAGAACCGCACAGCGATCGTTCCATGGGCTTGCCGATGGAGCACACAGAAGATGTGACTGTTGATAAAGGAGTTGTGAAAGGCAGCCACAATCGTAGTCTGATGAGAGGAAAGGTTTCACTCAATCAAAGAAGCGGTGTGATGAATAAAACTAGGGCTAATTGATAATGCTCATCCTCGAACATGGTCCGCCAGACCAGCTTAGGCTAATGTCCTCAGGACGTAACCATTTGCCGAAACCCGGGATTGAACCAGGGACCTTCAGATCTTCAGTCTGACGCTCTCCCAGCTGAGCTATTTCGGCGATGTCTCCTGTTCCAAAACCGCACAGTGATCGCTCCATGGGATTGCCGATGGAGCACACAGAAGTTGAGACTGTTGATAATGGAGTTGTGAAAGGCAGCCACAATTGTATTCTGATGAGAGGAAAGGCTTCACTAAATAAAAGCAGCCTTATGAATAAAACTAGGGCTAATTGATAATGTTCAGCCTCAAACATGGTCCTCCTTACAATCTTAGGCTAATCTCCTCCAGTCCTAAACATTTGCCGAAACCCGGGATTGAACCAGGGACCTTCAGATCTTCAGTCTGACGCTCTCCCAGCTGAGCTATTTCGGCGATGTCTCCTGTTCCAAAACCGCACAGTGATCGCTCCATGGGCTTGCCGATGGAGCACACAGAAGTTGAGAGTGTTGATGATCAAGTTGTGAAAGGCAGCCACAATTGTAATCTGATGACAGGAAAGGTTTCACTAAATCAAAGCAGCCTTATGAATAAAACTAGGGCTAATTGATAATGTTCAGCCTCAAACATGGTCCTCCTTACAATCTTAGGCTAATCTCCTCCAGTCCTAAACATTTGCCGAAACCCGGGATTGAACCAGGGACCTTCAGATCTTCAGTCTGACGCTCTCCCAGCTGAGCTATTTCGGCGATGTCTCCTGTTCCTAAACCGCACAGTGATTGCTCCATGGGATTGCCGATGGAGCACTCAGAAGTTGAGACTGTTGATAATGGAGTTGTGAAAGGCAGCCACAATTGTATTCTGATGAGAGGAAAGGCTTCACTAAATCAAAGCAGCCTTATGAATAAAACTAGGGCTAATTGATAATGTTCAGCCTCAAACATGGTCCTCCTTACAATCTTAGGCTAATCTCCTCCAGTCCTAAACATTTGCCGAAACCCGGGATTGAACCAGGGACCTTCAGATCTTCAGTCTGACGCTCTCCCACCTGAGCTATTTCGGCGATGTCTCCTGTTCCAAAACCGCACAGTGATCGCTCCATGGGCTTGCCGATGGAGCACACAGAAGTTGAGAGTGTTGATGATCAAGTTGTGAAAGGCAGCCACAATTGTAATCTGATGACAGGAAAGGTTTCACTAAATCAAAGATGTGGGGTTATGAATAAAACTAGGGCTAATTGATAATGCTCAGCCTCAAACATGGTCCACCAGACCAGCTTAGGCTAATGTCCTCAGGTCGTAAACATTTGCCGAAACCCGGGATTGAACCAGGGACCTTCAGATCTTCAGTCTGACGCTCTCCCAGCTGAGCTATTTCGGCGATGTCTCTTTCCAAAACCGCACAGTGATCGCTCCATGGGATTGCCGATGGAGCACACAGAAGTTGAGACTGTTGATAATGGAGTTGTGAAAGGCAGCCACAATTGTATTCTGATGAGAGGAAAGGCTTCACTAAATCAAAGCAGCCTTATGAATAAAACTAGGGCTAATTGATAATGTTCAGCCTCAAACATGGTCCTCCTGACAATCTTAGGGTAATCTCCTCCAGTCCTAAACATTTGCCAAAACCCAGGATTGAACCAGGGACCTTCAGATCTTCAGTCTGACGCTCTCCCACCTGAGCTATTTCGGCGATGTCACCTGTTCCAAAACTGCACAGTGATCGCTCCATGGGCTTGCCGATGGAGCACACAGAAGTTGAGAGTGTTGATAATGGAGTTGTGAAAGGCAGCCACAATTGTATTCTGATGAGAGGAAAGGTTTCACTAAATCAAAGCAGCCTTATGAATAAAACTAGGGATAATTGACATTGCTCAGCCTCAAACATGGTCCACCAGACCAGCTTAGGCTAATGTCCTCAGGTCGTAAACATTTGCCGAAACCCGGGATTGAACCAGGGACCTTCAGATCTTCAGTCTGACGCTCTCCCAGCTGAGCTATTTCGGCGATGTCTCCTGTTCCAAAACCGCACAGTGATCGCTCCATGGGATTGCCGATGGAGCACACAGAAGTTGAGACTGTTGATAATGGAGTTGTGAAAGGCAGCCACAATTGTAATCTGATGACAGGAAAGGTTTCACTAAATCAAAGATGTGGGGTTATGAATAAAACTAGGGCTAATTGATAATGCTCAGCCTCAAACATGGTCCACCAGACCAGCATAGGCTAATCTCCTCCAGTCCTAAACATTTGCCGAAACCCGGGATTGAACCAGGGACCTTCAGATCTTCAGTCTGACGCTCTCCCACCTGAGCTATTTCGGCGATGTCTCCTGTTCCAAAACCGCACAGTGATCGCTCCATGGGATTGCCGATGGAGCACACAGAAGTTGAGACTGTTGATAATGGAGTTGTGAAAGGCAGCCACAATTGTATTCTGATGAGAGGAAAGGCTTCACTAAATCAAAGCAGCCTTATGAATAAAACTAGGGCTAATTGATAATGTTCAGCCTCAAACATGGTCCTCCTTACAATCTTAGGCTAATCTCCTCCAGTCCTAAACATTTGCCGAAACCCGGGATTGAACCAGGGACCTTCAGATCTTCAGTCTGACGCTCTCCCACCTGAGCTATTTCGGCGATGTCTCCTGTTCCAAAACCGCACAGTGATCGCTCCATGGGCTTGCCGATGGAGCACACAGAAGTTGAGAGTGTTGATAATCAAGTTGTGAAAGGCAGCCACAATTGTATTCTGATGAGAGGAAAGGTTTCACTCAATCAAAGCAGCCTTATGAATAAAACTAGGGCTAATTGATAATGCTCTGCCTCAAACATGGTCCACCAGACCAGCGTAGGCTAATCTCCTCCAGTCCTAAACATTTGCCGAAACCCGGGATTGAACCAGGGACCTTCAGATCTTCAGTCTGACGCTCTCCCAGCTGAGCTATCTCGGCGATGTCTCCTGTTCCAAAACCGCACAGTGATCGCTCCATGGTCTTGCCGATGGAGCACACAGAAGTTGAAAGTGTTGATAATGGAGTTGTGAAAGGCAGCCACAATTGTAATCTGATGACAGGAAAGGTTTCACTAAATCAAAGATGTGGGGTTATGAATAAAACTAAAGCTAATTGATAATGCTCAGCCTCAAACATGGTCCTCCAGACAAAGTTAGGCTAATCTCCTCCAGTCCTAAGCATTTGCCGAAACCCGGGATTGAACCAGGGACCTTCAGATC